AGTCGTTCCCGTCCTTCCGCTCGAATGCATGGAGTCTCGGTCCGCCCGCCCGCTCGCTCGCTAAACGAACTGTTGTCTCTGCCCAATGTGTAGCGAGTAGCGAACTACTCTTCACAAACGGACGGTTCGATACCCATCCGCTCGTTTGTGGGTAGTGCCAGCGAGTAGTTCGTTACTCGCGGACGCTAATTTTGCGAGCCCGACCCAACCCTACTGTGTGCTCATGTGTGATCATATCATATCGCATACAACATGCACCAAAGTCATTTTTCTTATAGTTTTGACAAGAGAGCATCCAAATCAGAACCATAACTGAGGCACTCCTTATTTTTCAATTAAAAACTAGGAATGAATAAATAATGAAACCAAACGAATATATAAGGAAACATGCCCTTTGTTGTCCTTAAGCGAATAATGGTTTTATCTGAAAACCCCCAGAAATTGATTTTGGCAAGTAACTATATAAGGATCCTGTCGATATTACGTGTGCAAGAACATGAGCGTGTGTGTGTGTGTGTGTGTGTGCTATAACTTGCATTGTGGAAACTGGTTGATACAAATGATCAATTTCTCAAATTTTTCCTAGTGAGGACTAGTGAAAGTGAACTTGTCTCATCTCACCTCGTTGGCCTTGAAGCTTCTGCCCTGCATGCCGTGCTTGTGGAAGGCCAGGACACTGTCTTGGAGGGTCACTGGTGGGGAGACAAACACAGACAGTTAGCTCAGAGATCTCACACACACACACACACCCGGTTAGCACACACACACACACGGTTAGCACGCACACGCACACACATACACGTTTGTCAGAGACTAACTGCACTTGCAACACAATTGGGTCAAAACAGTGTTGAAGATTAGAGCTGTCACAAGAGAGTGGTATACAAAGAAAAGAACGAGGAGAGATAAGGATGCTAGATCTTTGACAGGAAAGAAGGAGCATATCACACTTGACCACCCGCCAACCACCCACCCACAGCCATTTATTGGGAAGAAGGAGCAAGATAGACAGAAACAGAGGGGGGGGGGGGAATAGACCTACTGGTGACACCCACCAAGCACATATCAAGTCACTTGCTCACTACTAGTTGTCATGGAGCAGAAAGAGAACAACAATAGGCACATTGTCTTAGTTTTTTGTTTTTGTAAGGGTTTTACGGCACTTGCAACACAAAAAGGTCATATAAGTGAGTGCCGAAGATTAGATGTGTTACAAGAGAGTAACAAACACAAAAAAGAAGGAGGAGAGATCAGGACGATAGATGTTTGATAGGAAAGAAGGAGAAAACCACACCAGAGCACCCGCCAACCACCCACGCACACTGTCTGGTCAGGTCTTGCTTGAAAGATGTGAGTTAGGGGTAGTACACAGGCACAATAACGGCTATTCAACGTGGGGAAAAATAAAACTGACAGTCATAAAAAAAAAGAGTAAAGATAGACAGACAGAAACAAAAGAGGTAAAGAAAAGGCACAAAAATACACACACACACATTCACACACACACACACACCACACACACACACACATCAGAATGCGCACACACACACACACCACACACACACACACACAGCAAGATACACACGTACACTAAAGACAAACAAACACACACAGTAAGTAATATCTAGTGAGTCCACAACACAGTCAAAGTGTAGCTCACTCCGCAAGGACGCACGCACACACGTGCACACACAACTGCACATACACAGACACTAACATGTGCACCCACAAACACGTGCACACACATAAACACATACCACACACATACACCAGTGCTACCCACCTACCAGCATAAATTTTTGTTATCAACAGATAGAAAATTAGTAAGCTGACATAAAAATTTGTAGTATGGCCATGGAAAATCTTTTTAGTTTCAGTAAAGGTTTTACGGCGCTCGCAACTGCATAAGGTCTTATGAGCGTCAGAAGATTAGACGTGTTACAAGAGAGTAACAATGTTACAATAGAGTAACAAACATAAAAAAGGAGGGGAGATAAGGACGATAGATGTTTGATAGGAAAGAAGAAGCAAATCACACCAGAGCACCCGCCAACCACCCATGGAAAATCTTAAATTGGCTGTCAAGGACAGATGTTATAGTCCACTATAGTATAAATGTAGCGTAAACAAAAGTGTGATGACCTTGTCAATCTGAGGTTTGTTTTTCTCCTGGCTTTGGCCCTTCTAAAGTCTGGTGTTTTTCTAAGGGCAAAGTGGCACTGCACAAATGGTGTTAATACTGTTACAGTTCGACAGCTGCACATGATGTAGTGACGTAGACAGTCCGGGTCTGCTAGTTTTTCTATTTTTCTTTCCTTATACATCAAAAAGATTGGCAGTGGGTTGCGGTAGTCAAACATTTTTTAAAAAAATCTGTACCAATGGTATTACGGTCGTATTTTTGTAAAGCTGAATAAAAATCATAACAATTTCACCAACTTCATAATGGTGGGCAACCCTCACACACACACACACACACACACACAGACATGCACACACATAGACAGACAGAAAGACAAACACACACACACACATACATGCACACACATAGACGGACAGAAAGACAAAACACACACACACAGACACCCGCAAATGACACCCACACATGACAAACACATGACACACACACACAGACACACACACACATACACACACACACACAGACACACACACACATACATGACACACACACATACACACACACACAGAGACACACACACACACACACACAAACAAAAACACACACATGACACACACAAGTACCTAGCGAGTCCACCACACAGTCAAAGTGTAGCTCTGCCTGCTGTTTCCGGCTAGACTTGAGTTTCCCGCCGAGACTGACCACTTTCACAAACTCTGTGGAGCAAACAGACGCCACTCATCACCACCACTGTAACACACCGCTGAACACTTGCATCAAAATTATTGTTCATAAATTAGATTAGTTTTACTACCAGATTTATGGCACTTGCAACATTAAGTCATATAAGTGCCAAAGATTTGAGCAGTTACTAGACAGTTTTAGCTTTGGTAAGAGTTTTACAGCACTTGCAACACAATGAGGTCATGTAGGTGCCGAAGACTAGGGGTGTTACTGTGGAGTACCATGCAATGATAAGAAGGAGAGATAGCAAAGAGAGAGCAAACCACACTAGAGCACCTGTCAACCACCCACTTTCCATAAATCGTAAGACTTTAACATTTGTACCCTGCCAGTGATTTGTACATTGAAGGTGGTCTTTTTGAGTGACCAGTTATTCGACTTAATCTTATTCATTCCAAAAATTTTTTAAATACATTTCCCCCTACAAAAATGTTCAATAAGAGTTATCATAAATAGTTAGCATTTAAAAATTTTGCGAGCAAGAAAATGAAAGGGAACAAATGATTTGAACTACGACCGTCCTGACCCTAAACCAAGCTTGCTACAAGGTGAGCTCACAACAATTACTTAGCAATTGGAGGAAAAAGCAACACAGACAGAGAGAAACAACAAAGAGGCAGAAATGACGACGTACAAATAAGTGGTGTCCTCACACGACCCACTAAACTGGCACAAGCTGACAAAATGTCTTTTTCTTTTATTCACAGCAGTTTTGAGAAAAAGAGGCTTTATGTCAGCATAACCATTGAAAAATAGAATGCTTCCAAAATTTGCATTCCAGTTCATTAAAAAACTAGTCAGTTTTACTTTGATTCTTTCACACAAGTAGGCTAACTGATCAGGCTTTTGATCAAGCGAATAAAAACTGTTGGCGCCAAAATGAAAAAAAAGGCATTTTGTCAGCTTACGGCCATATAGCTTGTTCACTTTCGTCTGACAGCGTTAAAAAAATTCTAGCTCATTGAATAATTTACCTATGCCCACAAAACTTTTCAAGGCACTTCTGCAGGCCAGCGAACAAACAAAACAATTTTTTAAAAAAATCTTGACCCAGTAATAAAAAAGTTTTTCTCTTTGGGCCCTATATCAAAAACCGCTCTTTGGATGCATACACATGATAACTAAAATAAATGACTTACAGTAACCTAGCTTACAAATTGCTCATTTTGAGACAGCGACACCACCCTGCCCCCATATTTCAGTGCAAGATTGTCGATTTTATCACCCGGCTGCCTATACGTCTCCACCTTAGTCTCCAAAATTACTCACTGCACCTTTTGAATCGTGTTGCTTAGGTATACGTTAGAGCATGGTGCTGAGGAAAATATGTCAACTTTCAAATGTTACAGGTATTTGCAGTAAATCTCCTATTCTTTTTTGGACCCGCTTTAGTCATAACTCTTTAAACTCCATCAGACGCTCAGCATTCGGCGGTAATAACCCTGTTCCCCATTGAACGCTGGGGGTGTCCGATTACTAGTGACAACTGTTTCGTTTTATCTAGTGCTAGTTTTTGCTTGTTTTTCAGAACTATTACCAAACCAAGTTTTTTTTGGTAATGATTAAGCCTTTGTTTCCGTCATTTAGAAATTGTTGGCAAGCTTTTGGGGTTATAATGAGACAGTGCACCTGGTTTAGGAGACTAGCAAAAACTCAGGGTTTAATGAGTTAAAGCAAAGAAAACGTGTCTGAACCTTAATTTGTAGTGACTTTTATGAATGAGCTTTTAGATTCTGTAGGTCATCCAACTTTTAGCCCATTATGCAAAAATGCGAGAAGATTGAACAGAGAGATTTCATTTCATTTTGTTCAAACCGCGGTCAGACGAAAGTAAACAGGCTGTAGCATTCTAGTAAACTTCCGCGGCCGGACACTTACTGTCGTAACATATCAGCACAGAGTCCTTCTCCAGCTGTGTCACGTTCACCACCGGCAGGGCTTCTGAGACCGCTGTAAAACACACAGAGAAAAACAGGGGATCTTGAGTTAAAGAAGAAATGTAACAATGTACTTCTTGTTTGTTTGCTTGAGTAAATAAAAGCACATGGACACAAGAAAAGCAAGAAATACTCACAATAACAAAAGGGAAAGAAAAGAAGTAGGACAGCCAGTGGGGCCCTCCAATCATCGGCATAATGTACTGCAACCTCCTCACAGAATATAACATCTACCATCGTCAGCTGCCATCCTCAGGCTTTTGAGTAAATAGCAGCACATGCACACAATATGGATCATTTAGTGCAGAGAAAAAGCTAGAAAGACTGACAGAAACAACAGAATGGAAGAAAAGTAGGAAAAGAAGCACAACCAAACCACCCGCTCATCTTCATGTTTAAGATTCATTTATTTTTTGTATGAGTAAAGAGAAGCACATCGACGACACAACAACAGTCATTGAGTGTTTGAGAAAATTAGGAAGATAAAGGAGAGCATACTAGAGGCACCATCAAACCACTTGTGATCCAGTGTAGAATAAAAAAATAAGGGGTCACGAAGGTGGGAAAGAAAAAAAATAGCTAAGAAAACACTAGAAGAGAGGGAAAAAATTGACATCACGTACACCACCCCCTTCCCCAATCCAATCCCATTTGTACACAACAATGAGCATGCCAGTCAATATCCACACGCCTTAAAAGACTTCTAAATGTGCCATAGACTGAAAAGGAGATTAAATAATTTAAGTCTGAAACAATAAGAACAAACTCCCCCCCCCCCCTTAAAAAAACACACACCACACATAATCGATGTTGCAAGAAAATTGCTCAATGTAGCTTGATCTAGCAATAAGGGAAGAGTAGAAACATTTTTTAGCTACCAATTCTTCTTGCAAAAGCTCACTAAACAGATGTACGACATTAAAAAATCAGAGAAAATCAAGGAAAGGTTGTCGAGAAATTTCAACACAAGATTTAGAGTTGAGGCTTTTCAACCTTATCAGTCACTTTTCCAGACTACTGAACTTCTTGCAGATTTAATGATTTATGACTGAAACTACCTTCTTGGACAAGACTTTTTACCGTCAGATTGGGACTTTACGTTGCCCTGCATCTTATCGATGAGAAACAAAAGAAGACCCAAAAAACCCACAAGAGACTGGCAAGAGAAAAACAATTTCGTAGGTGAAGGAGTCAATAAAATATGGTTTTACTAAAAGCCTTAACTCGTTTTGCTTTGAAGTGTGGTTATCAATGAGAACTGTACTAACAAAGCTGATGATGCTTGCCATGAAAAAGTTGGTGGCTCTTATACAACGAACATAGACCAAGATATTGACTTAAGTCTACCTGTGTCCTATCTGTGCATGTTGTCGGTGTAGCAAGCAATCCACCTAAGTTAGCAAGGCCCACGCAGCGCCGATGAGTGTGACAGAAATCGGGGACTCCCGTATAGGCCCTGCGGGCTTGTTTTACCGGACCCGTTTTCTCACGGTGCCATATTTTCATTCACTTGTACGGGCTTGTTTCTCAATGGATGAAAGCGAAACTTGGCAGCCAATGAGAAAAGAGGTCAAACTAGTCACATGCGAAAAAGAAAACTCGTAGGTTACTTGGTTATGGTACTTTTCGTGTCCGAAGTTTGAGCACTCGGCTACACCAGATTTGGTGGAATTTTGGATTTCTTTTTTCACAACCTTGGTTGACAACCTTTCTCCTTTATTGTCTTCAAATTTTATTAATGTATGTTGCATACGTTTTGCGTACCATTGCAAAACACCACCCAAACTCGACTGCATTCGGGCATTCCGCTGAGTAGGTCGGGCTAGCCGGCGTCGAGTGGAAAATTCCATGACATCATAAAGAAACAGGTCGGGGAAAGTCTACTGCGCGAGAGAGACGGGGAAACCATGTTCACCAGTTCGGCTTTCCAAAAGCTAAAAAGCACTTTTTAGGCTTTATCTTTAAGCCTGCATGAAATTTATTTGCTTTGGATATGATAAAAAGACTTTCTGCATACAAAAAAATCGGGGAGGAGAGATCACATTCTTGCTTTATCGATCGATGTTGACGGTTCTCACGATCCTGTTATTCCCCCGACCTAGATCTACATGGACTCGTCAGTTTCGTGCCAAGGAACAAGAATTATAACACTACATAGTTATAGCAAAGATAGTACATCGTAGGGTGTAGTATCTTTGGTTATAGTAGCTTACATAAATTCATAGAATGACTTTCTCGTTAGCAAGGAACAAAATATAGATTAAATCTAAAGAATTGGTGACTGGGGTGTCTTTTTTATGTATGATTACTAGTATTTTCTACCAATTTTGTAACGGTACGGAGATGGGTAAACTTCTGAAAGGAAAAGCGTTGTGGACACCCAGCTGGAGCCACAACCACGTTCTGGGGGGCGCATCTGGTGTATTTCAAATGCTAAGGAGGTTCAAGCAAAATTTGAAAAATTCAAATGAACCCAACATAGTCAGTACACTTTCTCTTGTCTTCTGTTCCATTTCAGATGTTTGTTTGCTTTCTTTCACTATCTGTTTTTGGTGCCTGTACACAGAGCACACCTGGTATGTTATGTTATACAATTATACACAAAAATATTGCAAGAAAAGTTAATGGATATCCCATTTTAGTAAAATACCCAGGGTACCTTTTCAACGTTTTCGCTCACAGTGATAAAAGAGCCTTTCATACAAAAAAATAACAGGAGATTTGGAATCTGCAGGAAAAAATACAAAAGATAGCCAAGTTTCGTAGATATATTTTAAAAAATAAGAAAGTTACAGGAGTTTGAATGTTGGCTGCAAGTCCTTGGCCTAAGATTTCTATGAATTTTTTTACACATTTCCCCTGATATTTGAAAAACTACTGCAGATACATCAAATATCTTTATAGATATACTATATGGTTCTGCAGGAAAAACTACAATAGGCTGCCAAGTTTCATTCATGTATTCCGTTTATTACAAAATTTATTATAAAAAATGCCTCAAAACACCCAAAAATGTGGACCGTGTTTTGGGATTTTTTCCTTATATGAAAATCACCCCCAAAAAAATTCATTAAAAAAATCATAACTAAGGCTATCATATGCACATTGTTTTGTTGGCTTTAGAGCAAAAAAAAATTTTTCATGGTTCTTGCTACCTAAGTCGGTTTGGATACTTTTTTGCACCAGAGGCAAAAAACTAGTTTTTGACGTGTTGTTCCTATCAGAAATCATGATAAGAAAGAAATTTGTAAACCCAGACCATAGCATTAAACTGCATTTTGGTGATGTTCAAAAGTGCATCTTTGATAGAGCTTTGGGGGGGGAGAAAATTCTCAAAATTTGGACTTGAGTAAATTGCTTGCGACAAAGATGATGTTTCCTATACAAAAGGATATGCAGTAGGTTGTCCCCCACTCACCTGTGCCTGGGTCTGTGTCTGTGAACCAGCTGGTCATGCTGTTCAGGTTGATAATATCAAACTTGACGTGATTGCGGTCGTGTCTGTGGGAGAAAAGATCATTGTGAATCAAAGCAGCATGTCTCAAAACACACAAACAACTATAATACAATATTGTGTGGACTCATGTTTAGACTTGCCTTTACCCATACACACACAGACAGCCAAAGGCCACTGTTCACATACCTAAGCGTGTGATTCACCCTTCAACCTCTCCTCAACACTGATGCACACACACACACAAAAACACAGGTCTCTGATATACACACAAACATGTGACTTGCCATCTGATCCTCTCTCTCAAGAACGGATGCAAGCAGGCACACACAAGAGGTATGCGCCCAGGCACGGACACACACACATAACAGACTCACCCTTTCCGTACACCGTAGCAGACCATGGGGTACTCCAGCTCTGGGCTGATGAACATCTCAAACACATGGAGCTGGGCTGGCATCTGCTCCGTCTCAAATGTCTGGGGGAAATAAGAATAAAAATAATAACAATAACAATAAGGATAATACAAGATGATTATAATAATAATAATAATAATAAAAGTTAATCCGTCAATGTCTGACAATGTCCAATACATTTGCAAAGTACGTCTCTTTAGCAAAATAGAAGAAGGGTTAGAGATGACTTGTGGCTCCTGCTATGGCCTATGAGAGTTTAGTTTTTAGTTTTAGTAAGAGTTTTACGGCCCTTGCAACACAATAAGGTCATATAAGTGCCGAAGATTAGAGGTGTTACAAGAGAGTAACAAACACAAAAAACAAGGAGGAGAGATCAGGACGATAGATGTTTGATAGGAAAGAAGGAGCAAACCACACCAGAGCACCCGCCAACCACCCACGGCCTATGAGACCAATTCTGTGAGGAAAACAAACACAGAAAATACATGCAAACTTTTTTACCTTCTTGCAAATGTTATACACTTCTTTTAACACCATTTAGATCATTTCGGAGGAGGGCAGCTGTGACTGTGCCAGTTAGGGTCAACCCAGACTGAGTCAAATACAACACCGAGAGGCTCGACACAACAACTTCTGTTCACAAATGACTCAAGCCCTCAGTATGCCTTGGTGAACAACTTAAAACTTTATCTCTGGCAAGCCACTCCCAGTGGCCCGTGGTCGGAACCGCTGTGCCGTTGAGCCACTGACAGCGGCTCAGGTACATTCTTTTACACCAACTTCAACATCAAACTATTTTTTGGTACTAGCCGGAAACAGGTTTTTTTTATCTGCATTTCATTCATTAATGAAGAACTATCAATACAGGTTCACTTGCTTTCATGTGATGACCAATTTAATGACGATTTTGTCATTTTTAGATTAAGTACAAAAAAAAAGGGCCTCAGCATAGTGAGAGATAAAGAGTTAAACGAAGTGAAAACTGACTATAAAACACATTGAAAATGTTTCCACCCACATCAGCACAATGATTTAGAACATTTCAGAAACAGCCAGCTTTCATCCTGCCTATTTGGCCAGAAACCAGGTGGAGGGGGAAACAGCAGGCAAGCAGACAAACAGATATCATCATTCAGTGCCAGATCAGCGGCAGACATCGGCAATCATGTTTCTCCACTCATTCCTGTGCTTGGATGCTCTTAAAAAAGCTACGTTACCCTGATCTTTCCCCGTTACCCATTTGTTTAGGTTCCCTGCGTAAGTTGCTCTGAGCCTACCCCTTCCTCGTTTGCCTTCAGTTTTGCAAGTGAGAGCCAGATGTTCAAGACCTTTATGTCTCTTCAGGTGTCTCAAAAACTGCACTTATCCCTTCCTCATTGTTTCTAACAGTGGGCTTCATGAAGTACTACCCCATGTGATACCAGATGAAATAACTTCCTACCTTGAGCAACATGAACTTGTTGAGTGGTTCGTACCACTGCATCAGAATGACTCCGTTGGCCAGCGCCCCACACAGGTAGCGGTAGCCGTTGTAGGGGTTGCGGCCCACACAGCAGCGCAAGCAGCCCCGCGTGTCCGGGACTTTCACCGTGGGCTGGAGGCGCCTGTGCCGGGGATGGGGAGAGAAAGACATTTATTTATTATTTAGGGGTTGTCTTTCATAAGAGATTTACAGCACTTCACAACCTCAGTGCTTTCTTGTCGGAGATACCTCAGTGCTTTCTTGTCGGATCTCCATTTTGTTTTTAACAGTGAAAATTTGACATCTTTATCTTAGGCTCACCCTTTGTTATGAACTGTTTTCAGTTATTAAAAATGGAGATACGACAAAAAAGCACTGGGGTCACGACTTGCTACACAATTAGGTATACAAGTGCTGAAGATTAGAGGTGCTTATTCAGAGTAACATACCAACAAAAAAGAAGAAAAGATCATGATAGAGGTTTGATAGGAAAGAAACAAAGCATACCAGAGCACCTGCTAGCCACCCAGGTTTATTCTTAAACTCTTTCTGTACCATGCACCAATATATCACTGCCTTTCTTCACACCATGTAACCATTCGCTGATAAACTGTGGCAGGAAAACAGTTAAAGAGACGCATATTGACACAATAATGGTCAATTAACGCAGTAAGGAGGATGATAAGACAGGAACAACAGAGGGAAAGAAAGACAGGCAAGAACAACTGAGGGAAAGACAGACAGGAACAGAGGGAAAGACAGACAGGAACAACGGAGGGAAAGACAGACAGGAACAGAGGGAAAGACAGACAGGAACAACGGAGGGAAAGACAGACAGGAACAGAGGGAAAGACAGACAGGAACAATGGAGGGAAAGACAGACAAGAACAACTGAGGGAAAGACAGACAGACAAGAACAACAGAGGGAAAGAAAGGAAGTAGAACGTACCAGTTGTGGCCTCCAACCACCCAAGTGTGTGTGTGTGTGTGTGTGTTGTTGTGTGTCTGTGTGTTTATGTGTTTGAGTTGGGAGGAGGAGGAGGAGAGTGAGAGAAGAGAAAAGAAGAGAAGAGAAAGAGAGAGAGAGAGAGAGAGAGAGAGAGAGAGAGAGAGAGAGAGAGAGAGAGAGAGAGCCTAGCCTATGAATCACTGTCTCACCTGGGTACAAGCTTCTCTGGAATTTTGTTCATGGGTAAGGAGAACCGGCTGTTCTGTCTGGTGTGCAGCATCATGAGGTCGTGCCGGTACAGCGTCGGAGTCTTGCCTGATGGGACCACACACGGAGAAAGACCAGGGTCAATCAACAACAAATGCTTCGATATAAAAGTTGTTTTAATTTAAGTAAGCGTTTTACGGCTCTTGTAACAGAACAAGGTCAGTTACATGCCGTAGATTAGAGGTGTTACAAGGTAGTAACAAACACATATAAAAGAAGGAGGAGAGATGAGGACGATAAAGAGGAAACCGCATTAGAGCATCCTCCAACCAACCACAATATAAAAGTTAATGCATATGGACAAGGTAAGTAAAACCGTCAAGAGAGTTTGTTTTGGGCCTTTTTTAAGACAGGTTGAATTAAGGAGTAACATACTACCATGGAACATTTTTTTGTTTTGTGGTGGTGGTGGTGAGTGAGTGCGTGTGTAGGAACAGCCTCAATGTGAGAAAAAAACACACATTGACATAATAGCTACCGTTTGGTGCTTGGGAAAAGCAAGATACACAGACAGAAACACCAAAGGGAGAAGAAAGAAGCAGGACCCACAAATACCACCCTAAAACCACCAGCCTTGAGCCTTTCTGAGCAACTGGATAAGCAAAATCTTCAACAGACAAGACCGAATCTCATATTATCATAATAATAGCAAGGACAATAATAATAATAATAATAATAACAATAATAGAAATAACGATAAGAATAAATCATAATAACAATATAATAATAACAACAACAGCAATAATAATAATAATAATAACAATAAAAGAATGATAACAACAGCTTGCCCGTATATATACAGAGCACATCCCTTCTACAAGGAGGGCTCTATGCCTCTCACAATTCACGACTACCCCGACAGATCCAAAACGATACGGAATCTGTCTCTACATCCTAGGCAAGGTTCTCTCACCAGACAGGGACATGAGTACATCCTTGATGGCGTAGAGCCAGATACATCTGCGGGCGTGGACCAGCTCCATGGACGCCTCGTGTATCTCATTCAGGTTCAGGGTGTAGAGTCCTTCGTTGGCTCCGATAAATATCAATTGATCTGTAAACCACAATCATCAGAACATTATAAGTAGATTAGTAGTATCTAATTGGTAACACAATCATCATAACATTATAAGTAGATTAAAATCATCTAATCGGTAAAACAATCATCACTATACTGTAAGTAGATTAGTATCTGTAACAAATCACTCATAATTTTATATCTAACCTCAGAAAATCAAATAAACAAATAAATAAATGAATAAATAAATAAATAAAAAATAAATCCATACGAAGCTTTGTGGAGCCACATAAAGAATATTCCAAAATTCACAAAGAAACTTGACTCTTCATCCTCAAAGTTAGTTTGGGTTCTACCTTTCCTATGGGCTTCCACCAGATTTTAGATCTAACACTATAAAAAACGCTGGGATAACGGGGAGCAAATAGAGATAGAATGATCTGAACGAGTTAAAGTTGTATCCCATCATCATCATCAAGTGTCTTGTCTGGAGCAGACATTGGCAGTTATGGTTCTTCTCCATCTAAGGCCCTCATGAATGAGTCATTGTTCATTGTGTTGTTTGATGCCCAGGTGTTTAGGCTGTTCATCAATCTTCTGTAAAGGCATCCTCAGCTTTTTTTCCCCATTGAATTTTTCATACTCAGTTGTTCCAACCCTCTTTTTCTGAACACAGGTTCCATGAATTTCATCTGTATCACATAAAAGATCAATTTTTGTCCTGGTTATTAGTGACAGACTGTCGACACAGAAGTGGTGGTACAAGGAAACTCTTGTCATTTCTCATGAGGGGTGCTTCCTTGATATTTTACTTTAAGCACAATTTACTCTGTTATACGTTTTCCCTACCATACATAATTTAAATGCCAATAACTTTTAAACCGTTGAAGGTACTAGCAAGAAATAAAAAAGGGCCCTAAATCAAAACACGTGGATTTCTCAGTTGCAAATTTTGACCCATGTGAAGGGTTTTCTGGTGCTGCCACATATAGTCGCTTTTAAGCACAAGGAGGCTATCCCGAAAGATGCTGTTTTGAAAAAAATCGAAGGTCAAATTTTTGCCCCTTGTTCAGTATCTTTAAAAGACAAGGAGAGTTTTCTCTATAACCAAACAAATCACTGAAACCAAACTTCTCCTATAGGTAGGGCTTTGCCCACTTTTGGTGTAGGTCAAGATTTCTGGAAACCCCCCAAATCAGGGTTAGCCCGCTTGTCCTCAAAAGCGACCTTATTTCAGAGACAGAGCTGTCATGCAACAACCGGCTCAGGGCGGAGGGCACATGGAAAAGGACAGACTGACTTACCTCTAGTGTCCGGGTGTACCCAGCTGGCTGTGCAATTGATGTGGAGGGGGCAGCCGTTGAACACTTTGGAGAAACAAGCTCCCATCTGAAGAATGCAACAACACACATACATAGTCTTATTGTTTGTCTAAGTACGAGTTTTACAGCACTTGCAACACAAACAGGTCACACAGGTGCTGAAGATTAGAGGTGTTACTAGAAAGTAAGAAACAAGAAAAGGAGGAAATCGTTTTGTTTTTTTTAATAGTAGAGGGTTTTACGGCGCTCGCTACTGCATAAGGTCATATGAGCGCCAAAAGGAGGAAAGAGAAGGATGAAAGATGTTTCATGGGAAAGGAGCAAACCACACCAGAGCATCTGCAATTCATCCATTTGCTTTGTGTGAGAATTGGTTTGATAAGAGAAATACATCAACACAACAATGGTCATTCAGTTCTGGGAAAAAGCAAGACAGACAGAGAGAAACAACAGATTTATTTGTTTGTTTGAGTAAAGAGAAGGAAAAGCAAGACAGACAGAGAGAAACAACAGATTTATTTGTTTGTTTGAGTAAATAGAAGCAGATCGACACAACGATGCTCATTTAGAGCTGGGAAGTTTAGTTTAGTTTTAGTAGAGATTTTACGGCGCTCGCAACTGCATAAGGTCATATGAGCGCCAGAAGATTAGAGGTGTTACAAGAGAGTAACAAACATAAAAAAGAAGGAGGGGGGAGATAAGGACGAGAGATGTTTGATAGGGAAGAAGGAGCAAACCACACCAGAGCACCCGCCAACCACCCACAGAGCTGGGAAAAACTAAGACAGTTACACAGAAACAACAGAGGGAAGTTATAATAATAGATAGCATTCGTATAGCGCATATCCCCGCTCAGCAGCAGGCTCTATGCGCTTTACACTATATTATTACCCCAGCAGACCATAGAATACTCCGAAACATTCTCAGCTTCCCGGGAAGCATACAGTGCAAGCAGCCGATTAAGCGCTCAAACACTAACAAACTGACAAGATCTTTCGCTGTGTATAGCCGGGTACCCATTCCCATCTGGGTGAAGTGAGGAAAATTCGTGTAAAGTGCCTTTCCCAAGGACACAACGTCGGGCCCCTGACGGGATTCGAACCCAAGACCTTACGGTTGCGAGTCCGAGAGCCTAACCACTAAGGCAACTGACGCCACAGTTAAGAAGTAGGACCTACGAGTACCGCCCTCCTGTTTTAGTAAAAGTTTTATGGAACTTGCAACACAATAAGGTCATAAGATTAGAGGTGTTACAAGAGAGTAACAAACACAAAAAAGGAGGAGGAGAGAGAAAGATGATATAGTTTTTTATAGGAAAGAAAGAGCAAACCACACCAGAGCACCTGCAAACCATCCACATACCGCCCTCCTACCATCCGCAGAACAAAAGAGGAAAAGAAAGAGAAAATAGGAGCAGCTTGGTGTGTTTTCCAACGACCAACAAGAAAAGAGAAGAAAACTGGCACAAAAACAGTTATTCAGTGCCAGGGAAGAAGAAAGCATGACAGACAGAAGCAATCGCGGGACAGCATAGAAGTAGAACCTACCAGCAGCATCTTCTAGCCACTCTCAGACTTGCAATTTGTCAGCAAAAATAGTTATGTCGAAGTCCGACCCCCTCAGCCTTATCCCCCCCCCCCCCGAACTCTGTTACATATAAAGTTAATTGACTTGACCCATAGTGTGTGGTTGGGAGGGAAAGAGAGAGAAAGAGAGAGAGAGAGAGAGAGAGAGAGAGAGAGAGAGAGAGAGAGAGAGAGAGAGAGAGAGAGAGAGAGAGAGAAAGAGAAAGCAAAGAAAAAGAGAGAAGGAGAGACAGAAAATCAAAAGAGAGAAGGAGAGAAAGAAAACCGAAAAATAGAAAATAAGGCACATTTGGGCGTTCTATCCTACAGCACACTCATCAGTCAGGTTTGATCAACAAAAACTCTGTACTAAAGAAGATAGAGCAACACAACAGGGCACCCACAGCTACACCTCCCCATTGTTCCAGGTAACTGATTCATTGCCCTACAAGACAAAGACTGATTGATGGTGAAAAAACTTACATGAACCTGAGGCGTGGGTGGAAGACCATTGCTGACGGGGCGTTGTTGACTAGACTGGGCCTGCAACGTAATCAAAGGTAACAGATTAACATCCTCACAATGTTTAGAATTACTGCTCATTTATATTTTATGCATGTGACTGTAAGCCTGTTTAGTTAGTTAGTTATAGTAGAGGTTTTACGGCGCTCGCAACTGCATGAGGTCATATGAGCGCCAGAGGATTAGAGGTGTTACAAGAGAGTAAGAAACATAAAAAAGAAGAAGGGGAGATAAGGACGACAGATGTTTGATAGGAAAGAAGGAGCAAACCACATCAGAGCACCCGTCAACCACCCAATAAGCCTGTTTGTGAGTGCAAGCATACTATTGTTTTATTATAGTTATGTGCACAGATGTGTGTGGTGGACAGGATGTGTGAGGGAAGAATGTGTATAATTATATGGGTGTGCACATGTGCGTGTATGCGTGTATGTGCATGTTTGGGGTAGTGTGTGTGTGTGTATGTGTGCATGCGTGCGTGTGTGTGTATATGGTGAAACACCAAACCAAGGTGCCAGGATCTGGACAATAAAGATGTATCTTACAGGTGACAGACACACATACAGACAGACAGATAGACAAACTTACAGACAGGTAGACTCATAGAAAGACAAAGAGATGATTGACAGATAGATGCCATAGTGACTTACCAGTAGGCAGATTTATCTGAGTTAGAAAAAAAAGCACATCAACACAAGAACAGTCATTTAGTGCTGGGAAAAAGGAAGACAGGCAGACAGAAGCAAGAGGGAAAGAAAAGAGGTAAGACCAACCAGAGGCACCCTCCAATCACCCACCATATTATCTCTGACCAATCCGAAAGAACGAAAACTGATTTGTTAAAAACACTGGTCAGTACGAGTGATTACAGATTCTGGAAAACTTTCCACTGATGTGAAAAAGTATTTAAAGACACAAACAGACTAAAAAAACAAAGTAATGAGTTTTAGTTTAGTTTTTGTAAGAGTTTAACGGCACTTGCAACACAATACGGTCATATAAGTGCCGAAGATTAGATGTGTTACAAGAGAGTAACAAACACATAAAAGAAGGAGGAGAGATCAGGACGATAAATGTTTGATAGGAAAGAAGGAGCAAACCACACCAGAGCACCCGCCAACCACCCACACAAAGTAATTACCGACTCACAAACAGATAGATGGCAAATAGATCGATGTCACCACTGACCTTCAGGTAGGCAGATGTCAAGAATGATTGGCAGGAATTATTTTTAGCAAGAGTTTTACGGCACTTGCCACACAATTAGGTCAGATAAGTGCTGAAAATTAGACGTGTTACTACACAGTAAAATTCAAAGAAAACAACGCTGAAAGATAGGGACGGCAGAGGTTTGACAGGAAAGTTTTAGACGGTTTTACGGCGCTCGCAACTGCATAAGGTCATATGAGCGCCAGAAGATTACAGCTGTTACAAGAGAGTAACAAACATAAAAAAGAAGAAGGAGAGATAAGGACGATAGATGTTTGACAGGAAAGAAGAAGCAGCAAACCACACCAGAGCACCTGCCAACCACCCACGACGATAGTTGTTTGATAGGAAAGAGATAGGAAAGACAGTAGTTTGATAGGAAAGAAGGAACAAGCCACACCAGAGCACCCGCCAACCACCCACATAAATAGAATGACATGATGAAAAACTCACGAGCAGATAAAACCAGACCAACATCAAGGGTGGCTTACAGACAGATAAACAGACACTATGAGCATCTTACAGACAGACAGATATATCATGACTGACTCCTAGACAGACAGAGAGACACATCAGGAGAGACTTTTGTTTCAGACCGGGGAATCAGGCTTACTCTGCTCACCTCTCTCGCCTCAACAGCACAGAATCTGCTTCAGCTATCAAGGCACCCCGGAAATAGTAGTTCACAAGAGAGTGACAAACATACAAAAGAAGTAGAGGAAAAATGACGATAGTAAGGATGAAGAAAGAAAAAGCAACAGTTCCCCTTATGTTGATCCGGCACAGTATGAGCATTACATTGATAAATCAGACCATTTACAATTCTACTGTGCATAAGATAATGTTAATATCCCCCCTTTGGGAATTGCCAAAAGACAACTTCATTCAGTAGCACTGTCCAGGTGGGGGTGCAAGAGTGAGTAACAAACAGACGAACACACAGACACCAAGAACAACTCACAGATTCCTCTTTCTTCACTTTCCGGCGCGGTGGAATGGCTGGTGGTACCGTACTCCCCCCCTCTCCCCCCAGCCCCTCAGGGGAGTCTCCGTTCTGGGAGTGGACGAGCTCCCCGTTGGACGAAGGGGGCGGGGGCGGTCGGCGCTTGGGGGGGAGGGATGGGGGAACAAACTTCTCCTCACCACTGTCTTCCTCTTCTTCTTCTTCCTCTGTGAAACAAGTGGGAGAAAAAAAGTGTAGGAGACATAGAAAAATGTCTTCAATCTCTCTCTCTCTCACATACACATAAGTCTCTCTTTCTCTCTCAGTCTGTCTGTCTGTCTGTCTCTCATACACATACAGTTTCTCTGTCCCCCCCCCCCTCCACCCCCCTCTCTCTCTCTCTCACAAACACACACACACACACAAACATACGGAATCACTGTTTCTCTTTCTCTCTATCTCTCTCTCACACACACACACAAACATTCAGAATCCCTGTTTCTCTTTCTCTCCCTCTCTATCTCTCTCTCACATACACACACACACACACACACATTCACGCACACACTCTCCCCTCCCCCCACACACAACACTCAGTAAACCACTCACCCGCAGCCTGTGTATGTGCCGACAATCCCCCCAACCCCTGCTGCGAGGCCTGAGGGGTCAAGGTCACCATTCGGTCAATCAGTGACTCAAGGTCGTCTATCACAAACTCCCCGTCCATCTCCTGACCGCTGTCCCCCTGACCTTCACCTTCCTCAAGGTCATGTCCAGCCTCGTCTGACTTGTCACCGCTGCTGAGTCGTTTCCGAATCTCTCGTGCCAAGGCTGGCTCCAGTGACCGGGGAGGCTGTGAGAGAGAGCAGGGGGAGACTGGGTCATTGTGTGGGAGCAATAAACTCCAACGGGGATTCGAACCTGGACTATTCCCACCACAGCCCAACATGACACCCACTGAGCTAACTGTGCACTCTAACAGTGTGTGTGTGTGTGTGCGTGTGCGTGTGTGTATGTATGTGTGTGTGTGTGTTTGTGTATGTAAGTGTGAGAGAGAGAAAGACAAAAAGAGAATGAGAGAGAGAGAGAGAGAGAGAGAGAGAGAGAGAGAGAGAGAGAGAGAGAGAGAGAGAGAGAGAGAGAGACAAACAGAGAGAAGGACAAACAGAGAGAGATAGAAAGAGAGAGAGAGAGAGAGAGAGAGAGAGAGAGAGAGAGAGAGAGAGAGAGAAGAGAAGAGAAAGAGAGAGAGAGAGAGAGAGAGAGAGAGAGAGAGAGAGACAAGCACACACACACACACAAACAGAGAGGAAGAGGGAGAGAAGAGCAAGAAAGACAGAGAAAGAAAAACATAAGAACACAAGTCTGAGAACACAAAACCATTGCATAATTCAACAGATGTATAAACAGCTATACTAAGCTTCTATGAAAACGTCAACAAATGTGACTTAACAACAAGCCGTAGACGGTTGGCCACAGGACAGTGTTCTTGAACATGTTGTTGTTGTTGTTTTCAAATCCCTTTAGCTGCGAGCATTTTGCTCTTGGCAGCACAATGCCTCCCTCAAGTAACATGTCTTTGTCATCTGGTCAACGCCAGAGGTTCTTGAACATAAAACTCGTGGAACGGCAGGCCCTGGCTCCAACACAGGACAACAGTATGGCAGCAACCTGTACAGGTGAGTCTGGGTGAGTAAATTCCACATCCAAAGTTCCCATTGAAAGAATTATGTACTCTCTATTCTCTGATTTCACACAAGCTCTGTGGGGGATTTTTGGGTATATAGAAGAACATCAATATAGTAACTGTCATAGAAAAAAAGAGCAAAAGCAAGACAGACAGACAGGAACAATGGAAGGAAAGAGCAGAAGTACGCCATTCCATTTGGGGGCTTTTTTTTAAAGTTTACATGTTTTACATCTCTTTCGAACAAATTTATTAGATCATCAAGGAGGTGGGCTTCGACCCTGCCTGTCAGGGCCAGTCGGGCAGAGAGGGATACAGAGAGGGATACAACGTCCTGATAGAAAGACCAAGATATTCTACAAAAATTCTTCGCACCTGGGAATCAAACTCAGGTCATCTGTGTGCAACAGCTGAGTGCCTCTTTAATCTCTCTCTCTCTCTCTCTCTCTCTCTATCTCTCACATACACATAAGTCTCTCTTTCTCTCTCAGTCTGTCTGTCTGTCTGTCTGGCCGGTGTAAGCCCTTGTAAGAGAGAAGAGGGACAAATGTGACTGGCGACTTACCTTTGGTGGCGGAACTGGTGGGGAGTTGAGCTGTAAGGTGGGTCTGAGGAGGCATTTAGAGAAACTGTTAGCAGTGTAGCTGTTTGGAGCTTGTGCGAGGAAAGAGAAGCACATCGACACAATAGAGGTCATTTAGTGCAGGGGGACAAGCAAAACAGACAGACAGGTAGTTGGTGGGTGCACTGTAATGGTTTGCTCTTTCTTTCCTATCAATCATCTATCCTCCCCATCTCTCCCCCCTTCTTTGCTCTGTATGTTATTCTCCAGTAACACCTACTAATACGACCTAATTGTGCTTCAAGTGCCATAAAACTTACTAAAAAGAATAATAATAGATAATAGATAGCATTTGTATAGCGCAATTCCCGCTCAACAGCAAGCTCTATGCGCTTTACAATCTAGACTATAAACCCAGCGCAGACCTGATAACTAAGATTTTTTTTGGGGGGGGGGTTTTTTAGTAGAGATTTTACAGCGCTCGCAACTGCATAAGGTCATATGAGCGCCAGAAGGTTAGAGGTGTTACAAGAGAGTAACAAACATAAAAAAGAAGGAGAGGGAGATAAGGACGATAGATGTTTGATAGGAAAGAAGGAGCAAACCACACCAGAGCACCCGCCAACCACCCACTGATAACTAAGACAGAAGCAACGCAGGGTAAGCAGAGAAGTAGGACCAACTACCAGTGGCTCCCTCCAAGTACCCACGCAGGGGAACAGCGAGCATCTGTACTGTGTGGCATGAAGGGCCAGAACTACTGTGGTCTGCTAGCACTCTCAAGACTACTGCACTTTCGGTAAAAAGAAGCACATCCACACAACAATAGTCCCTCAGAGAGCTGGGAATACATGAGACAGGCAGACGGAGACAACAGAGGGAAAGTAAAGAATTAAGACGTACCGGTGATGCCCTCCAACCTCCCACCGTCTCAGACACAACAGAGACACGGTACATAGTGCATATATAGTGTGACGTGAGTTTGACTCACTTACAATCACTGCATGGTTAGTTCAGTTATAATTTTAAAAAGAGTTTAACTGCACTTACAACACAATAAGGTCATATAAGATTAGAAGTGTTACAAGAGAGTAACAAACACAAAAAAGGAGGAGAGATAAAGACGATAAATGTTTGATAGGAAAAAAAAGAGCAAACCACACCAGAACACCCGTCAACCACCCGCATGGTCAGTTCAGAGACCGGACAGGTTCCCTTGCCCTGGATCAGTGGCCTAGCTACATTCTACTCCTACAGTGAAAACTTGCTGGAAGTAGTTTTTTCATGGCAAATCTTTTACAATGCAAGACATGCTGCGCTGACACACAAAGGACAAAACTTTCAACTGACTCCCACAGCAGAGTGTGTTCAGGGACCAAATACACACTATTACACACAAAATTTCTATGATCCTTCCTCAAGGAGAAAATAGAACTTATAATTCTATAAATGTGTGAATTTCAGTGTTCAACCATATATTTTTCATTTTATTAGCTTCTAAAACTACAGCAAGACAAGCAGCTGTCTTTTAAACTCTTGAAACTACTGCCTTTCTCCATCACAGTACAATGTACTACACCAAAATGAAAAAGAACAAAGCTGAGAGGGTACAAAAAGTCAGTGTCATTTACCACAAGCAGAGGACAATTGATAAAGCCTCATGCAAAGACCAGAGTTGGAGTCTTGGAAATGGTAAAGCAGATATTGACAATAATAAAATTAACCCTTGGAGACTTTAACCCTTCAAAACATGACCACTCTCAGATGTCTCTGGTACCTGGAAGCCACAGGTCGTCGGAGTGACTTTTCTAAATGTATAAGTCCGGAACTTTTGAATAACAATTTTCGGCCAGTTCACCTCAGACGGATATTTCCCATCAGGTACACCGAATGAATATCAAAAAGTCCTGAGCAATAGGAATGTTATCCTTATCTTGCAATGCAAACAGCAAAATACACAATATCTGAGTGAAACCAAACAAAGTTTTTATCTTTACATAAAAGATTCTTTCGACGGTACATACATTTTTATACAATTGTTCTGACAATGTATTTTCTTTCGCATTCAAGTTTGAAAATATAAAAATCATCAGATTGAGCGAGAGCAAAAAGGCTCAGTTTACGCAAATCTAGTAGCCTATACACTAGAGGGGCACGTATCCAGGAACATGGAGAAATGTACTGTCCTGTCTCTGAACAAAGCTAGACCACAGGTGGCGGTTCGGGGAGGTGGCAGCGTTTGTGAGGGCAGACTGACACAGCCGCTCAACTTTCATCAACTTTCATCCCACTCTTCCCTCAAACCTCACACATACCAGATCACAGTTTTCTTACAAGTTTTAAAAAATATTTTTTAACCAATTTGCTGAAAAAAGGATATTTTCTATGTGCACATGAATATCAAGGACTTTTGACATAATGGAACCAGGTTTTTATCTTACGGTTTTAACTTTAAAATACAAAGGCACCATACTGAGACCGAATTTTTTTTAAAATCACAATTTTAACATTTCTTTTGATAGACATTCACATTTATAAAATTGCAATAAAAGTAAGTGCTCTTTCGCAACAACAAAAAAAAATATATATATAATTTACAAATTTTTAAAAATGAAAATCATTGGGGAATGTGAGAAGTTAAATTCAGTAAGCTATATACAAGACAAGCACAGACCCGGCAACACAGAAAAATGAATTCTCCTGACTCTGGACCAACATTGACCACAAGGGAAAAGGGGGGATGGAGTAGGGGGAAGGGGTGGGGGGCAGATTACCACTGCTGCCCGAGGTCCATGACACTCTCCCCAAAAACATCACAGATACTAGTTCACAGTTTGGTCATTAACGCTAGCAAAACAAACAGAGGGGGCCTATGTCTGATAAGAACAGATGCTAAATACACATCAGAGAGAGAAATTAGCCACAGAGCTCAGATAAGATGCCTTCATGCAGGCTGGTAGGCATTTTAATTAGGATCTTGAACAAATGTTATGCCTTGATCTAAAGTAACTTATGTCCTCAAACAAATGATTGTAAATGTTTTGTGCCTCCACTGACACCACTTAAACCATTTACGAGGCTGGCACACAAACCATTAACGTAGTAAAATAGATAAATAATTAAAATTCATTAACTATAACTGAATGAGGTGCACATGTTCACTTTCTCCATCCTAGTCCAACCCATAGGTGAAATACCTTCATCTTCCAGGCTTTTGCACAGGATCAAAATCATAGGTAGTCCACAGTGCTTTCACTAACCCACATTGCAATTGATTTTTCCGCTTGCTGCTTTTCTGATAACAACACAGCGTTCTTCACCATCAAGTTGAGTAATATAATGAGACATTACCAGGAAAAGTGTGTAATTTGAATCTCTTCTGAGAAAATCATACTCAATGTATGACCTTTTGTATCCAGACAGATGTTCTTAAAGCAATATATTTGGAATTAAGGAAGGTGAAGGGGAGGTCTTACTATTTCACAGGACTGGTGTGATAAGGATATTTCTTGTGCAAAAAAACAAAAAATCAACGCTCAAAATATTCTAACCTAATACTACTTAGAATATATATCTACACTTGTCAATAACAGAATAACAACAAAATAGGGGGGAGGGGATTGAGAAAACTACGACTAATCACAAAAGTAATAGACTGAGAGAGATGAGTCTATACTTATATATTTAATAAGACAGTCATGATTGGTCTTGGGCAACAGACAGGAGGCTGTAGAAAATCCAAAAACTTCCCCAACCACAGCTGAGCTAAAGAACAAGGAGGGTTGGGGTGTATTCCAGAGTGCAGTCAGCAACACAGCAACAGCACACCTACAACAGCTACTGGCTGGTCTTGGCGATCTTTCTCTCGTCGTTTGGTTTGAGTAAACAGAAGCACATCAATACCAAGCCTCTCAGAGCAGGGAAAAGAAAAGTATTTTAGTTTTAGTAGAGGTTTTACAGCACTCGCAACTGCTATAAGGTCATATGAGCGCCAGAAGATTAGAGGTGTTACAAGAGAGTAACAAACATAAAAAAAGAAGGAGGGGAGATAAGGACGATAGATGTTTGATAGGAAAGAAGAAGCAAACCACATCAAAGCACCCGCCAACCACCCACAATGAAGGTATACAGACCGAAACAAAAGGGGGGAAAAAAGGAGTAGGATCTACCAGTGGTGTCCTAGAACCACCTTCGTATTATTCTCTGCCCCACCCTAACAAAACTATTATCGTACATGACACATGGATCTAAATCTGGAGCAAAAACACATTTACTTTCAACACCTCACTGCTCCACACTTACACGTCACAGCGGAACATCCATCTTGCACAAAGACATCTCAACACTTTGCATCATTCTCTGTTCACACGGTCACATATAACGACACAGCAGAACGTCTATTTCATACAAAGACCGATCTACTTCTGACAAAACACAACAGCTAGGGACACAAACAACAAGTTACAAAACACCCAACACACAATATCCCAAACACAACAGCTGAAACAGAAGAAGCAGGCCACCACAGACAGAGAAGCCAGGCGCCTTGTTTAGCTGAACACACTTTCCCCTACACCAGACAGTGTTACTATCACACTGAGCATGCGGATGAACCAATCAAAACCCAACTCCCAGAGGCACCAAACTTCCTAGTTGACCTAAATCACAGCAAATCTCCACAAAACATCGTCCCTGTCCCAGGAAAAGTGAGGAACTCTGTGTTTGACCCTGCTTCACAGGGCAAGGTATAAAAAATTATAGCCACTCATCTCTAACGTGACAATGACAATTCATAATTTCAAGAAAGAAAAAGAAGTATAGTATTTCTTAATCTGTTACCGGTAATAATCTTAGCTGCTGACGAAACAAAACTCCTAAATGTATAGATTATTGCTTCACTTAGTCTCCATCTGATTCCACCACTTGACTAAAAGATTATTTTTTGGAGAAAAAAATCAGTACAAATAAATCTACAAAGTGAATAAAATTAACAAGATGACAGCCATCTTGGTCTTTGACTATATCTATTGGTTCTGAGGCTTCTCAATGGATTTCTTGCCAATGTGTTGTTGTTCTTAGCTATGCTCAACAAAAAGAACTGTCCATTTTGCACACTAACTATATTTGTTACTATGCTTTTTTTTACACTAGGCTTGCAGTTAGCTTAAGATAATGACCACAGAAGTACTTCAGCAGGCAAATTCCAAGTTTTTTAAGAGATGAACATAAAGCAAACATTTTACAGCATGCACATAAAGCAGTAAGCTAATACAACAAAAAGCTGAGTTTCCATAAACTTAATTTACTTTTTAAAATCTAAATAATTTCTTGTTCTGATATTTAAGGTTGTTTTTTTTAAGTTTTGAACTGAAAAAATATAATTATGTAAACCAAAACAAAAATAAAAACAAACAACAGCCAAGTTTTGAATTCAGAAACAACAAATGTGATTTCATAAAGAACAAAAAGGAAAATAAATCAAAACGAAAAAGGTCCAGGGTCAGAGCTTTGAGGGAAATACTGTAGAAGGAAACACAGCAGCACAGAGTGACTGAGCCACACACAGGACCAGACGACCATGCAAGCTAGTACAGGTAGAGGGGAGTGGCTGGGGGGAGGGGAGGGGGGGGGAGTTACAGAACACTGAGAGGTCAGTGACATTGCCTTACTTCTCATGAAGTGGAGTGAAATCCTCCTCTAGAATTAAACTACTCCTGTGGCCTCTGGAAAAAACGATTGGTCAACAAGTGAGGGGTGGGGGGCAGTGGTCTAAACCTCAGTCTACCCCCACAACACACACACAGGGACTGGATGTGCTGGCAACAAATGAGAATGATGATGTCATGATCTGATCAACTTCTTGCTGGTCCACACAATGTATTACACTCCCAGAGATGTGGTTTAGATGAATTAGGAGGTGGGCAGCTTCATCTGTGCCTGTGACGGCCAACCACAGCTATCTGGGATACAACACCCCCCCCCCCCCCCACACCCCCCCCCCCCCCCCCCCAAAAAAGATGAAAAAAGATGTCTGAAACAAACTTCCCCATGTGAAGGAACTGAACTTAAGTCTTTAGCCACCAGCCTAACCATTAAACCGATAGACTTTTGTTCTCTACCTGTCCCCATAAAACTATGAAAAATGACAATTTGATGAACCAAAGTTGGGACACACATCTCTCTCGAAACCTGCACCTATTGATGAGTACCTGTTGATACAGGAGAACATTTGCACATTTTTACTTCCACAAGAACAGTGCACTGTCCTCAAAAATATTTCCTTTCTGTTCTACTATGATGAGGAAAAGTTTATGAGATAGGTACTAGTCTCTCTTTCTCTTTCTCAACTCCCGTGGAGAATTGTTGAAAAAAACAAAACAACAACAACACACCCTAGAGTAATTCATCACTGCCGCATGAAAAATGAGTGCGATCTCTCCAATCTTTCACCTCACCTCACCCTGTAAAGCTGAGTCCAACAAGAGCTCACTCATTTTTCTCGTGACAGTGACAAACACGAGGCCATAAGGGAAAACATCGAAAACTTTTTTTTTTCAAGTTTTCGACTAGATCTTGAAAAAATATAGCTGAGACCCTGACAGTACAAAAAGTTCAGACACACTCTGTGTGATATGACAGACTTTGAGTCATGACACGCTGGATGACACACAGGATGACACACAGGATGACACGCTGGATGCTGTACAAACAAGAGAACAACTCACACAACATAGAACCACAATGCAAACAGGAAGGGGGCACAACAAAATGATATTCATTGATGGGGGGGTGGGGGGGGGGGGGGATTTTGTGACGAGCTATTCAGAACAATGCAAAGATGTGCTCATTCATTCACAAGTCAGGAGTTTGGAGCGGTGGTAGTGATAATAGAATCAGTCAGAACACAGAGACAGAGAGCCATGACACGGTGGAAGGGGGGTGGGGAATGGATAGAGGATCAAGAGAGAGAGAGAGAGAGAGAGAGAGAGAGAGAGAGAGAGAGAGAGAGAGGAGAGAGACAGAGAGAGACAGAAAGAGTGACAGAGAGAGAGACAAAGAGAGACAAGAGACAGCGAGAGAGTAAATTCCCGATGAAAAGATAATGAGAAGAGATGAGACTGGTTGGGCCAGGAGGGGGTGAGAAGTGAGAGGTGAGAGGTGTGAGGGCTCGTGGGTACAAATTACCTTTGGGACAGCTCCTCCTCCACACATTCAAGCAAACTCCTGAGTGAACGACCGAGGAAATTAATGAACAAGAGAAAAATAGAAAAAGGGGAAGAAAAAAGAAAAAAAAACCAACAACAAAAGTCCACAAATCAACATAGTACCAATGTGCATTGATTGAAAAAAAAGAGTTACAGTTTGCTGCTCTGGATCAAAGCAGCCAGCAATAAATAAAGGTCTACAGCTTGTGAAATTATGATGGTGCTGGTTACATTCTGTGCAATGCTTTTCCTGCCAGAAGCCATACACTGTTCCACGTGGGAGCCTTTCACTCTAGGACTGTTGTGCACAACCTTGTCTGGCTCATTGTCACAAGTCACTAATGTTTAAGGGACTGAAGATAGGCCATCTTACTAATGTGGGGGGAAACTTTAACTCTTTTACAAATCTCTTCTATGAGTAAGGTAACCTACAGGACAAATAGACACAGCCGTTAATCAATGACGAATTTCACACTGTCATTTCCAGGGGAGAAAGTAGACAACCCAGTCTTCTCATAATTATCCTCACCCATCGAACATGTCTTGGATATTATTCAGTTCTCAGGTCTGTCTAGGTACTGAACATGCCATGCCAAAGAATGAGCATTTAATTTACTTCTTCCAAATCCACACAACTATGACACTGGGGTACGAGAAAGTATTTTGGGAGGGACAACACTTACTCTGAAACCACCAGCGTTCTTTGGAACTGGTCGTCAATGCCCTCATTGACACAATAAATGTCGCTTAGAAGAACCGCAGCTCCCATGCTTCCTCTGTGCCATCCTGAGCTCATTACTAAAATTCACCCTCTAACTTCAGAATACACCCCCCCCCCCCCAACCAGGGCAGTTCTACGGACTGAAAATGTCTTTAGGCCATTCCGAAGGGGGAGGATATTACTTGTTCTTATGCACAGTAAAATTGTAAATGGGCTGATTTACAAATGTTATGCTCATACTGTTCTGGAACAACATTGGGGGAACTGCTGCTTTTTCTTTCCTCATCCTTACTGTCATCATTTTTCCTCTATTTCTTTTGTATGTTTGTCACTCTCTTGTGACCTGCTATTTCCGGGGTGCTTTGATAGTCGAAGCAGACTTTGTACTGTTGAGGCTAGAGAGGTGAGCAGAGTAAGCCTGATTCCCCCGTTTGGACTTCTCTGTTGACATCCACCCCTTGGCGCTCCTATGACCTTATACAGTTGCGAGCGCTGTAAAACCTTACTAAAACAAACATCCTCTAACTTCTGAACACGTGTTGAGTCTGCACCCAGCTGCACCACCACAGTATTTAACCACCTGGCTGAGTCACAAGTTAATACAGCCTAAACATACTCAAAACCCACCACGGCCACTTCACAGTCTAGTTTGGGCATCAGGGTCAATGGCAAGAAAAGCATCACAGAACAAGCAAACAAAGGACAAACCAAATTTACACACGGCAAAGCTTTGCCGAGCCCGAATATTGATGGTTAGCAATGGAATACAGATGGTTTAATCAACAAATGGAAAGTAATCAATTAGAGATGGCACCACTGTTAGCAAAAAGAAAAAAACATTTGCGATTGGCCGTTGGTTTGCTGTCACAAGAGACAACTACGCCCAAGTCAAAGTCAGGGGACACAATCAAAACACCAGGGAGTGACGACGTCCCTTTGACCTTGATTTGTGCATAGCCAGCGACACAGGCAGCTGATCCAGCAAACCCACGAGTCATAGCACGAATGATGTGAGGTCAAGGACACAACTGGAAAGTTAAAGGTCAACAAAGATTTCAGGGCAGGGTTGGTAAAAGTTTTTTTTAATATACTGGTGCGGCAGAAGCTGTGCTTTCTACTACAAGGTGAAGATTGTTTGCTTACTACACACACAGAATAGGGTCATTTACGAGTCCTGTGTAATGTCTCTTTGCATGTAGATTTCCTTTAGAATACGGCTTTAATACATGTATTTATTGTTTGTTTGAATAAAGAGAAGCACGTTGAAACAATAATGGCCATTAAGTAATGAGACAAAGCAAGACGGACAGAGAGAAAACAAAATAATAATTTATAATAATTGCATTTATATAGCGCATATCCACACTCAAGAGCATGCTCTATGCGCTTTACAACTATTATTACCCCAGCAGACCCTCTGAGAACACTCGGAAACATTCTCAGCTTCCGCGGAAGCAAACAGTGCAAGCTGCGGATTTCACGCGCTCAAACACTATCAAACTGACAAGATCGTTCCCAGTCTATAGCCGGGTACCCATTTCCACCTGGGTGAAGTGAGGAAAATTAGTGCAAAGTGCCTTTCCCAAGGACACGACGTCAGGCCCCTGACGGGATTCGAACCCACGACCTTAAGGTTGCGAGTTCGAGAGCCTAACCACTAGGCCACTGACGCCAAAAAGACTCCTCGACGACAGAACACAGCAATTGTGCCAAATGGAACTCACCCCTGGGAGTTCATAATTTTACCTACGCTTTTCTTATTACAGAGGAAGCTGAATTCTTTCAGCAAAGTTTATTTCCACAATGTTCTCAAGGAGAGAGTGTAACCCAGTACTAAGAGGATGCTGTTCATGAGTTGATGATGCAGTGCAGCAATGGTGTATTGCAATGTATTTTGTCACATTTTTGTGGAGGTACTGAAGACACAGGACATAGGCTTTACGATTATAAGGACTGTTGTCTTGGCTGTGAGTGAATTCTGTGCTTTGTTCAGACATACCAAGTCATTGCATTTTTAATTTTTAGTAAGAGTTTTACGGCACTTGCAACACAATATGGTCATATAAGTGCCGAAGATTAGAGGTGTTACAAAAGAGTAACAAACACAAAAAAAAAAGAAAGAGGGATCAGGATGATAGACGTTTGATAGGAAAGAAGGAGCAAACCACACAAGAGCACCCACCAACCACCCAAAGTCATTGCATGGGATTTGCTTAAAAAGCGATAATGAAGATATCGTGTTGTGACGATGAAGTGCGTAATGATGTATTGCATTGTATTTTGTCTGATTTCCCATTTCTCAGAGCTTCTAATAGAACCAAATAGAGAAATCTAGCTCAGGAAAATAATCACACAGAAACAGGGCAACAAACCATCTGCCATGGTCAACTCCTTGTAATTACCGTCTTCCGCATTAGCAACATCAAATCGGGATCACTTTTTTCAACACCACCATGTAGAACGGCAGAAATGACAGTGACCTTGACACATTACAACAGACAGCAACACACCCATGACGACAGCGCAGAAAGAAAGAACACACACACAGCTTCGAGAAGCCCCACAGCCTTGCCGCAAAAACAAAAGAAGAAAAACTGAACCACACAGGAAGAGACTGAGTACGCTCCAGTCATGGGTAGACCTGCCAACCAACAAGCAACAAATCGACAGGAAAATTCTCCCTCAGAAATAAAAGCCAGCAGAACAAAATGCCAGCCATTCAACTTTGACATTATTACCGTATTCCATGACATTTACATCATGCTGCATTTTGTAAAGAGTCATTCCATGATTGCCCGAGTCATTTTTCAAAGTTTTGAGAGAATTAAAAAAAGAGCATCTAACCCAGAACCGTGACTCGAGCGCTCGTTATTTTTCGACGAAAAACTAGGAACGAAATCAATGAAGTGACATTATACGTGACAATAAGATCCCCCTTGATGTCTTTATTCGAATAACAGCTTTATCTGGAAATGTCCAGAAACCGACTTCAAACGATTGTGGAATGACGTTGACAATTTGCTGCTGAAACATTTCTGACTCAACCAAAAAGTCTGGCTGAGTAATACTGAGTACCACATGCCAAATACCAGCGATGTGTAACAGATAATTACAAAATAACTGACAACAGCTCAAATGAGAGCAATTAACCTGCAATTCAGCATCGTTGTGGATATTTTTTTTATATGATAAAAGGCTGGAGGAAAAAAAAGCCCAGCTTTTCCTGTGAATAATATAATTGGGGGATAGAAATAAGGGGAAGTGGTCAGGAAACAAGATAATAGCAGGGTAGTTGGCAGATCTACAAGAAGAAAAAAGGGACGCCTCATAGCATAGTAAACAGGTGTATTTTGCTACAGGAAAAACATGTACGTTTCTGGCCCCGCAGCTACCAGGGCAGGAACTGCAAAAGCTTTGACACGAGCAGGGTTAACGGTCAAGAGAAGTACACACATACACACACACACAGAGATACATGTCGACACACTCACTTTTTCGACTTCTCATCTTCCAGCCAGGGCTTGGCTGTGTTGAACTTGTCCTCCTGAGAGAGAGAGGGAGGGAGAGAGCGAGAGAGAGTTCAAAGTAAGAATATGAGATACAGAAAGAGAAGAGTAAAGAAAATTCATCTATAAAAAGGATCTATGTCTGCGATGACATTCTGCTACTAGAGGTGGCACTTCCTGCTGGCGAGCTGGGGGAGTCTGTTACTACCCCTATCCCACTGAGGGCAAACAGCAGAGAGCATGCAATCATTTCATAAAGTGAAAACTCTCTATAACTATTTTAGCTCAAAGTATTATAAATTAATTCTCATGAGAGATAAATCAACCACATAGAGAGTAAACTTTATCTGGTAAATATGTATTATGCAATCAAACAGGAAATGAGTTATAATCACAAGCCATAAAGTAAATGCTGTCATTTAAAAGTCTTTCACACCCCAATCAAGCCAGTTTTGATCAATATGAGGGAACAAGCTGCTTTGACCCTACCTGCTAGGGCTAATGTGGCCAGAGTGGGATACAGCATCGAAGATACTCCCACAAAAAACTACTTCCCAACAGGAGAATTGATCTCACGTCTTCTGCATGCTACAGTGAAGAACTTTACCAATGCAATCTAGCCGCAGGTGAAGCAAGTGCCAACACCTCCAGTGAAAAGATAATATCAAAACTTGTAACGCCGTTTCCCAGACACACAGCAATAGGGTTGCTATTCAATAACATCAAATAAAAATGTAGGTGCTTTTCATGCCCTCATTGGCATAATTTAGATCCTTTACGGAGGAAAACTTCGCCCCTGCCTGTCAGGGTCAATCTGGGCTGAAAGGGATACAACATCCCAGCAGAAACACCAAAATACTCCATGAAAATTCTCTGCACACTGCAATCGACCTCAGATCTTTTGCTTACAACAGCGAAGCCCTTAACTTCTACACCACAGATACCAGTTCCTATTCCCTGCAATACAAGTGACCACAGCTTCTGGACAAGAGGAGCCCTTGGACACGGGTCAGACAAGAGTGGCACTTACGTTGACGTCGTCAGTACAGTCCCACGGCTGCGACAAGCCGTCCCGCTTGTTGTCCTGAGGGTGGGAGAAGAAAACAAGAGGGCCCGGCCCGTGAGAACAAAACACAGCAGCAGCAGCTCAGGCATTCATCAATGACAAACTGATTTTCTCAATCAACTATCGCTAACAAAGGTTAACGTAACTACTCATTTAGTCATTTTTTTAAATGGCCTAACGAGAAGAAAAATGCAGGTTTCTTTGATTTCATTATTTTGATGAGCGCCCGATTTCACCACGATCCCTCACATTTTGTACTTTTTGTTCATTGTACGACTGTAAGATTTCTACACAATCACAGACGATGTATGACCCTACACTCTCACAGATGGCATATGACCCTACACTCTCACAGACAATGTATGGCCCTCCACTGACAGACCTTACACACTCACAGACAATGTATGACCCTCCACTCTCACAGATGACATATGACCCTACACTCTCACAGACAATGTATGACACTACACTCTCACAGATGACATATGACCCTACACTCTCACAGACAATGTATGACCCTCCACTCTCAGAGACAACATACTCTCACAGATGATGTCTGACCCTTCACCCACACAAAGTCAATCAGCATACAGAGGATCTCATCTAAAACTTAAAACTGCGAGAACGGTAATGAAAAATACTCACCTTGCCAGGTTCCACATTGACGTTCACTGAAAATGCACAAAGAAAGCAAAGGCAGGTCTTAAAACCGATTCTGTTTGAGAAATTCTACACAATAAAACAAGGGAGCATTTAATGCTTCAACACACTAAGGGAAGGAGGGGGGGGGGCTCTCCATCGTCAGGAGACCAGGGGAGGAGGAAAGACGGGAGGGAGCAAAAAAAGGGGGGAAGGGTGCGCCACAACAGGCGAAGATGAAACAGCCACATCTAGAATTTTAATGGAAAGGTGATGTCATTGGGTAGGCTTGAAGTAAAATAGTTTTGAGAAGGTAAGCAATTAACATGTGCATGTACTTTTGTCTACTCTGAACCCGCCCACCTTAAGCAGGCACATCATATCCTCACCATCTCAAGGATAATGAGCTACCCTGTTCGTTTTTGCTTTACACGATGAGAAGAAAAAGACTTGGGAAAAACTCAGTTTTCTTGCAACAGTAATATTTTAAGTTAACTACTGTTTACTCTCACAGGCTAGATATTACACTAGTTACATCAATATTCCTCGGTTCAGATTTTTTACTATTTCTTTTAACTCTTTGTCGCCTCATCTCGCCGATAGGCGATGTTTACCACTCAGTTTCTTTGGACTTTCCCCAAAATATGATGGCAAAGTGTTAAAGCATGCTGATCGTATACCAAATAATTTGCCTTTCCTTCATTTTACTCTTCCAAGATAGAACTTGTTTTTCAAAAAGCCTTTTCAATATGCGTTCCATATAATTTACACATGATCACAATACAACCAACCTTTTAGTTCAATACTGTTGGTAGCGGCCAGCAGCCGAGACGTCCTGTTGGATGGGATTCTTTTAGGTGCATCTTGCAACAGCTGAAACACAATTTGTGGTGGATTCATTTTCAGTCTGACTCATATAACAATGAATGCTACCATTAGAAAAGCCTGAAAATGAAAACATTATCAATATAATCCAGGAATGAGACCCCAAAACCTTTTAATTACTAATCCAATGCATGTCCCTCGACTAAAAGGGCATTTCTAACTCTTACAACCATTTTTCAGCAAGTAATCTACGGAACGAAGCTCTGCCACCCACCACATGGAAATTTTGGGGGGTAACATTCAGGTCTCAACATTCATCTCACACAGCTTTAGAACAAGTGTTACGGCACTTGTAACACAATTAGGTCAACTTTCGAAAATCAGAAGTGTCACTTGAGAGTACCATACAAAGAAAAGAAGGAAGATAGAAAAAGACGATAGATATTTGATAGGAAAGACAGAGCAAACCACACCAATGACCCACTTTCAATTCAATATAGTTGAGAGATCACAGAGAAACCAGAGACACCGGCTATATCATCCACCCTGACCCTATCAAAAACAACAACAGCAAGACCCCACATCACAGACCACCTACCACATCCTCCTCCCTAGCCAGGTCATAGGTGTGTTTCAACAACAATGAACAACAACAGCAAGACCCCATATCACAGACCACCTACCACATGCTCCTCCCTAGCCAGGTCTTAGGTGTGTTTTAGTTTAGTTTCAGTAGAAGTTTTACGGCGCTCGCAACTGCATAAGGTCATATGAGCGCCAGAAGATTAGAGCTGTTACAAGAGAGTAACAAACATAAAAAAGAAGAAGGGGAGATAAGGACGATAGATGTTTGACAGGAAAGAAGAAGCAAACCACACCAGAGCACCCGCCAACCAACCACAGGTGTGTTTCAACAACAATGAACAACAACCAGAAACAGCAACAACAACCAGTAACACCAGCCACCCCGTTCTCATCCTCAGTCAGCCAAAAGGTGGGTGTCAACAACAAGGAACAACAACCACCACCATCTACCCTGTCCTGGTACTCAGTCAGGTCATAGGTGTGTGCCAACAACAACAACCACAACAACAACAACCACCACCACAACAACAACAACAACCACCACCTACCCCATCCTCATCCTCGGTCAGGTCGTAGGTGTGTGTCGGGTTCCGTGACTTCTCCAGCAGCTCTTTGGTCAGCCGCCGGCTCAGGTCGCCCTGCAGGAACGGGTGCTGCACACACACACAGGGAGAAACAACAGGGGTCATAGATCATGTAGGAGGAGATTGTAGACATCTTGACCCTCCATCATTCAGCTACAGAGCTACTGGTACTTATCAAGATGATACAACTTACAGATTTACAATATGTCATTTAAACATAACACCTGCTATACAAATGATCAGAAATGCAGCCTTTTTATTTTTTTCTTTCCATTAAAAAATTTATTGGTTAAAAATAAGCAATTTTCAGTGATGTCCGATGGTACAAAATAGTTCTCACAGAGTGCAGAACTGAGAAAAAGATATACTCACATCCACAAGTTTGTCTGCTGGCGGTCTCTTCTTTGGGTTTTTCGTTAAGGCAACTTTTATGAAGTGTTGAAACACGGGCGACCTAGATAGGGAAAGAAATATCCAGAAAAGCAATCAGCAGAAAGTTGACTTTCCGTAGAAATATCCAGAAAGTAATATCAGAAAATTGACACCTCAGCAGAACAATGAGAAAGCTACAGAAAGTTGACACCTGAGCAAAAATGTTGAGAAAGCAATGAACTGTGACACCTTTCCTGAAACATGGAGAAAGCAATGAACTGTGACACCTTTCCTTAGGGCTGGGTCACGAGCGCGAGAACGGAACTGAATCGCCATTCTTTCCCGCGGAACGCGATTCACGATTCATTTCAGCGGAACGCGGAACAGTATCGCCAAACGATTCCCAATTCACTCCCATGTCGCTGTCACCACCTTGTGGCTTGTTTAATTAACCTACTGCTGAGTCGAGTTACGAGCGCAAGAACGGAACGGAACACTTAGTATGGCTCCCCTTATTTTACAAAAGATGGTATAGTCCAACCCCCCTATTAAAACAAAATGAACGGGGTCCAACCAATCAACAGAAGGAATTTTATGGAGCCATTGTTTTAGCAAATGGTGGGGTTGGGGGGGGGGGGATTTATGGGGGTCACTAATTGAGGTCAGTTGATAGAGCAGCGCAACAAAGAGTGTGGGGCGGAGAGGATGGTGGAACAACAAGAGTGGGACTCGCGCTCGCCAAGAGGCGTTGATATGACACTGTTCTGTTTCAGTCAGTGTTCCGCCACAGCTCCACGAGCGCTCGCGTACTCGTGATTCATTGAAGCCGACTGAATCACGAATCGCCACTCTCAAATTTGACGAGCAGGATCCAGCCCTACCTTTCCTGAAACATGGAGAAAGCAATGAACTGAGGATTGACATCTCAGCAAGACTGTATGGGAGAGAGCGCAGGCTAACTCGTCTCAACAGACTCACAACTCCTGAAACACATCAGCAGACACACGACCTGCCTAAACTCAACAATAACAACAGCAATAACAAGAGCCTGCCCAGGGAACTTTTATTTGTCATCCTATAGGCCCCATGATTCACTAAAAACTTCATTTAAAAGGAACCCACATAATTAAAATCAACCACAAAAGTATTTTTTCCTTAAAACCTAATAAAAGGCTTACTTCAGAACTAGTAGTAAGTGCCTTAGTGGTCAAATTCAGCTTAAGATACTGGTTTTATAAAGTTCTGAATTTGACATGTGCCTGTAAACTGTGGCAGTAAGAGAAATTCAAGGGTAACTTCTTGAAATCACAGACAAAATCAGTGACAGTGCTAAAGAACTGACAGAGGAATACCAAGCGCATGGTAGCTTTCTGTGCTGTAGAATAACCTACCAGTGTTCAAAACAAAATCGTACGTAAAAAAGAGCTACAAACTTAAAAAGCCCTTGACAAATCAAGCACACCCCCATTTAATTAACTATAACGGAATCATTTACATAAGAGTGTGCATGTATAACCAAAAAAAAAGAGTTCCCGTGGTTTTCTACTGTCACTTACCATTTGTTTTTATCTTTCAGCTGGGGTGGCTTGAACCCACTCTTGGACATGAGAAACAGGGCCCTGGGGAGAGAGAGGTCAAAGGTTGCTGTGACAGGAGCCGACATAATACATTAGTACCACTGACATTTCATATCTTTCCCAGGAAACCAAGAAAGTTCTCGAGTGTTATAGGGTCTGCTGGGGTAATAGTATAGTATAAAACGCATAGGGCTTAATGTCGAGCGGAGGTATGCGTGATACAAATGCTATCATTTATTATATTATATCTAAAGATCACTTCCGTAGCTTGACATTTTCAAATCAGGTGGAAGGGTGGGAAAAAAGGTAAAACATAGGTTTGAGTGTAGAGAACAGAGAAGAGAAGCACAGAAGTCATTTTCCATTTGTGTAACTGTGCGGTGGAATTGGGTCCTCATCAATTTTTGGGCATATGGAACCAATAAACATCTACACTTTACTTTTCTCAACCAGCGACTATCTGAGTTCTTACCCTTCAGCCTGAATTAAACAACATTGATAAGACAGAGGATTAGAAAAGAAGTAAAAAGACGATGAAACAGTCCTAAAAATACCACCTGAAAACATCTTCTTCAATAACCAGAGCTGTCCACAGAAAACACTCTGTCAAAAATAGACCTCCAGAAAATAAACCCTGTCCCACAAACATCGGAAAAAAACAACAAAAAAACAATCAATCGGTCTTTGGGTAAGTCAATGGACAGACATCATGCGCACCTCATGGGGTGTAGGTCAAACATGGGTGGCTGCAGCTCGGCAAACTCAATGGCCGTGATGCCCACCGCCCAGATGTCACACTGTTGGTTGTAGCCTCCCTTCCTCTCCACCGCCGCCACCTCGGGGGCCATCCTGCAACACAGAAACAGTTTTTGAGTTTTACAGCACTTGCAACACAAATAGAGGAGTTACTGGAGAGAAACATACCAGAAAAGGAGGAGAGATAAGGACAATAGATGTTTGAGAGGAAAGAAGGAACAAACCACACCACAGCATCTGCCAACCACCCATCAACACCGGAGCATCTCACGATCACGGGTCCGGTAGCCTAACCAATAAGCCACCACAGCACGCCTAACTAATAAGCCACCACAGCACGCCAGTAGCTTTTTCAATTACATCTTTTTTTTCTCAAAGGGATCTCTAACTCAGGACTGAGCCTGCTGTTTGGTTTGACGGTTTTAGAAAGTAATGTAAAAAAATAGTGAAAAAAGCTGAAGACAATAGCTTAATCCTGTCTAGTTTGTGATACTTGCAGATCTACCCATGGCATCAGAGTGGTCAGCTTCCAACAAGTTATCTTAAAAGAGACCCAAAAAAATTCTCAAAATTCTGTCCCATACCCTTCTTTTAATTCTTTAAACCCCACTGGGCTGTGGGAACGTCAGTCAACAATGACCTTGTTCCCCAAGTGATGCTGAGGGCATCTGATAGAAGTAACGACTGATCCATTTCATATAGTACAAGTGTCTACTTGTTTTTAAGAACAATCTCCAATCCAATGTCGTCATATATGACCAAGGTGTCAAGTTCAGATTGTATTTTTAGAAGTATTTTTTCACCCCTTTTTTCACATCGTATTACATTTTACAGAGAAAGTGGCCGTTGGCCATTAAGGCTGGCAGATGTAAACTGACTCTAGATGAGGCATCTCAGTTGGTAGAAGAAATTCAACATGAAAAATTGGGTAGCAGTTGATTCTTGGATGATAGGAAGGACATGACTAGAGTGGTGATAGTGATAGTGTTGAGAATGAGGTTGAGGTTTAAGTTTCTGTGAAAAAAACCCTCGAAAAAGGTGGTAAAAACTCAGGGTTTTTTCTTCTTTGCGTTTCCCTGTTAGATCTCAGGGGTAGTGGACTGCTGGTTCTTTAACGTTCAGAGCAACTGATTTTAACGTATGTGACTGTTTTTCCAGCTTAGTAGGACCTCTTGCCTTCAGGCAGTCACATTCCAATTTTGAAGGTACTCTACATGCTTTTATTCCGACGAGAACACTTTAAATTTTGGTAGGAATTTTGAATTTTGTCCAGGTGGCGGCCGAAACTCAGGGTCTAAACAGTTTAACAATCTTTTAGAACAATTACTTTAGCGCACTTCTTTTGGTATCCAAATAAAATTATATCATCTATGCCTCTGTGCCTCAAAGTCAATAATTTTATACGAAAAAGAATTTTTTTCATTTAGAACAGAGCTACTTAGACAATACAGAGATGCTTACTGCCTCTGGTTATTCCTCAAGGTTTACCTTGCAGAGAAAACTGTGAGAAATAATAATAATTGCATTTATATAGCGCATATCCATGCTCAAGAGCTTGCTCTATGCGCTTTACAACTTCAAGCATGACATTATTACCACACAAATTAATCACTCACCAGTATGGAGTTCCAATGAAAGACTTGCGTTTACACATTGTTGCTGTAATCTGAGCCGACACTCCAAAGTCAGCTGGAAAAAAACAAAATCACGTCAAGTCTCACGGTGATGATCAACATGTCACAGCAGAGAAAAAGAGAGGGAGAGGGAGAAGGATATGGAGGAGAGAGAGGGGGGAGAGGGAAGATTTCGTTTTATTCTTATCTAGAAACCAATAACTATGGTTATGCAAATGGTCACTAAGGAAAAAAGAAAGAACAATCTCTACTCTCCATTCTAATACTGTTTTCGTATTCATCTGTTAAAATTCCGTTAGCTTTCTCACAAAATGAGACATTTTCAAGCTCAAATACACCATCACCCAACAAAAGAACATATCCTATAGGCCTAACAAACAGGGACAGCATTCTCACAAAATAGAGAACAATTCTGATCGCCTAGCAACGGAAATTTCTGGGGAATGTGTCAACTGAAACAATCTTTCGTTCACATACAAACACTTCCAAGAGAGGAAGATTCAAATTAACATATCTTACCTAATTTGATGTCACCTTCATCAGTGACTAAAATGTTGGCACCCTTAGAAAAGGAAAAAAGAATACAAAACATTTGTAAATCATGGAACAGTAATGTTTACATATTTTCTCAAAACACTGCATTACAATTCAGAGCTTTCTCTCTACAAGGATAAAAACTTCTCAACTTTAGACTTACAAGCATGAAGAGGACAGAAATAATAAGAAACTCAAGTGTTTTTTTCAGTATGGACAAAAGCAAAAATTTCAAAATAGAAACAAATAGGTTTCCAGAACAACTAAACCAAAATCCTTTCATTTTGTCATTCAGAGTAAAAAAAAAAAAAAAAATCAAAAGAAGAACAAATTAACAATTTCCAGAATAACTAAACCAGTCTTTCACATTTGTCATTCATGGTAAAACAAAATTCAAAAGAACAAATCAATAGCTTGCATGAAACAAACCCCTGAGTATAATAAAAGACAAAAACTCTCAATTATACTATAACAAACATGAGGAATGTAAACTGGGTTCTGTTGTTTTATCTTTAGTTCAGTTTTCGTACAGGTTTTACGGCACTCACAACTGCATAAGGTCATATGAGCGCCAGAAGATTTGAGGTGTTACAAGAGAGTAACAAACATAAAAAAGAAAAGGGGGAGATAAGGATGATAGACGTTTGATAGAAAAGAAGAAGCAAACCACACCAGAGCACCCGCCAACCACCCACTGTTTTATCTTTACTCAAATTTAATAAGAAGTAATAATCAAAAGCAACTCTAAAAAGTTCGCAAACTTTTGTGAATCTGAAAAACTCTATATAACAGGAGCAATGAGAGAGTACCTTGATGTCTCTGTGCATCTTGCCGCGCCGGTGCAAGTAGTTGAGGCCCTTGAGCGTCTCTCTGCACACAAACGCAATGGTGGGCTCGGGAAGAGGCCCAGTGACTAGGGATGAAAAGAAAACCCAAAAAACATTCAGTAATGTTACAAGATCGCGACCTCAGTGCTCAGTGTCGAACCTCCATTTTTATTTTTAATCTTAGTAAGTGTTTTACGGCACTTGCAACACAATAAGGTCATATAAGTGACGAAGATTAGAGGTGTTACAAGAGAGTAACAAGCACAAAAATGGAGAGATAAGGACGATAGATGTTTGATAGGAAAGAAGGATCAAACCACACCAGAGCACCCGTCAACCACCCACCTCCATTTTTAATAACAGTGAAAACAGTTCATAACAAAGAGTGAGCTTAAGAAGAAGTCACGTTTTCACTGTTAAATTTTTTTTTTTTTAATGGAGATATGACAAGAAAGCACCGAGGTCGCGAGATGTTCACTCTCATGCCAAACACAGCACAGGTGCAGGAGATGAAGATGATGACCGCCAACATTTACTGACAAATAAATTAAGAAAATTTATGTCAACAACACTTCATGATACAGAAAAAAGTTACATCAAACATTTTTGAGTCTAAATTATTGTTTAAATGTGCTTTATTTTTCTCCTCCTTTGCCGTGAAAAATTATATTTGAATTCACCAGGTGAGGTGAATAAATTTAGGCAACGCTTCATTTTAAACTGATATAAACCAGAGGCACAAAAGACCATAGAGAATGAGGAAAGAAAAGATTAAAAAGAAGGAACAGAAAAGATAAGTGAAAAATGACAACAATTGACTTGTTTTTGTTTGGGTAAAGAAAAGCACACCAGCACTGTGACAGCCACTTGGTGACAAAGCAAAAAAGACAGACAAAAAAAAAAAAAGAGATAGAAAAGAAGTATCATCAACCAGAGTTGCTTTTGTGAACAGTGACTGCGTGGCCTATTGACTTGCTGGCTAGCAGTGGAGACATTCCAGCATAAAGTACAAGGCACCCTCATTGGCACAGGTGAAAACACTGCCAAGTGACGAGACTATCAAGCTTACCGTGGTATATATCTTGCATAGAACCTCCACCGCAGTACTCCATGGCTATCCATAGCTTTTCACGTCTGGGAATAAACAAAACAGAGACACATCGGGGTTCAGATTGTGGGAACATGAGAGAGACAGTCTGTGACAAAACAACACATCTGAAATCTCTCAGCATAAACTCGAACATTGAACCAATATTATCTGAATGCACGCTTTTTAGTTTTCATTTAATCACTTATGTCATAAGTCCCTTAAATGTAGATGGAAAAAGTATATAAAAAGGTAACACATTGTCACTGAAACAATATAAATTAATGACTCTATTTTATCCTGCTTTACAAATGTATGTAATAAAAAATGAGACTATTTTTTTCTTCCGCTGTAGACAACATCTTTGGATCAAGAGTCAAAAAGAATGTCTGATTTGTTCTCTGAAAAATTTGCACAATATTTTTTTAATGGATATTATGATATCTTGGAAGAGGTAGGTATCATTGCTTTATTCTAAAGAGGAGGAGGAGGAAAAGACGATGCAATGCATTGAATTTGACCACAATACAAGATAACAAAAAACAACCACATAACAAAACTTTCGAGCTCTCCAATAAGAATCTAAACTCACCGTAGATAGCTCCCATAGTAGGCCACAATATTGGGGTGCTTACAGTCTTTCATCATAATGATTTCTTGTTGGATGACAGCAAAGTCATCCCCTGAGAAGAGAAGAACGGCCCGTGGTGGTCATTTCGTACACAGTGTTAGAAAAGACAACTGCATTATATAAGTGCACATGAAATAGATGCACCTATTAGACTAATTACAGCCCAACGCAGCTAAAATATATATATAGTATGATAAAACAGGCTTTCTGTTTTGGTCCAATCACATGCAATACGCAAAAATTAATAGATTTCAATGGCAATAAGGCCAGTTAATGTGCCAATACCTATTGACATTTCAGGACACTTTTCAGCAGCATTACATCTACCACCTCTTATTTTCTATCAGTAATGCCCTTACCTCAAACTCACTGGTCAGACTAGTAGCAGAGGTATATGTTTCACCAAGATAATTATGACATAATGTTTCATAAATGTCTAACAAGCAAAACATTTCTAAAGAAATTCTGAATGTAACATTCCACCCCACCACAGGATGGATCTGCTCTTTTTCAATATGTATTGCAATAAAGCAGTTAAATCATCATCATGATAATGACTGATGTAAGGCACACAAGTAAGTCAGTTAACTACCTGGCTCCAGCTTGATGACTTTGATGCCAGCCAGCTCTCCTGTGTTGAGATCTCTGGCCTGGAAACAAAAAGACAACGTTTAGTTGTAAAACTGGAACATTTCATCTAACTACACACTTAAAAAAAAAACACTTCTAGTTAGTTTTAGTTTTAGTAAGGTTTTACGGCGCTCTCAACTGCATAAGATTATATGAGCACCACAACAGTTGTTAGATTCTAGTTTGTAATTTTTTGACAATACATGATGATGACTACAAAAAGAGAAGTTTCTTTCATTCTTGTGGTTCCTTTTTATATGATGATTAAGCAAGGCCGTGTAAGATACATATTCCATTGAGACAAAGAGTCTAACTTGAGATGAGAAGCAAATTTAATCTTAAAACATCAACAGATAAGTCCTGATATTATCATAAACAAATTCTTTTTAAATCCTGAGTGCAAATAAATATTAAATGGCTTCCTAAGAACACAAAATAATGTTACTACGATGACTATAAATTGAATCTGAAGTAAATGTACACTATTTAGTTTAATAAAACACTCTGCCACCACAAGGCCCATATATAGTTTGCCATCAAAGGCAAAGGCATTTTGGGGAAAATCCAAAGAAACTGGGTGGGAAACATCGCCGATCCGCGAGATGAGGCAGCAAAATGTTAAACTATCTTTAATTAAAATTATAATCTTCACCCATGATGCAGGTTGCAAAATTAAGAACACTAAATTGGTAATTTTAACATCTTGAGAACATACACTGCACGTCTGTATCTCTAAATCCTGCCAAGACTACAATACTACCCTTTCTTAAACCCTAACCCTTAATCTCACACTCACAATCCAAGAGGTTTTTTGAAATATTTCAAACTGAAGTCCAGCCTAAGCTCCAAAGCCACTACACTCATAGGATATCCTGAGGTATATATTTTTTATTTTACCATCATTTCAGCTCCACACAAATTAATGTTGATTAAGTTGTGTCAGTTTCTACTTATGACACTTCAAAAGCCAGTCCTATAGAGGCATTGTAAAAGCTAGACCACCTCTTCAGGCTCATTGTCAATTCTTTACACAAGAAAAACTGGTAAGGGGGGTGTGACTAATTAAAACAGCCCACGAAAACTTTCCCTTTGTTTTAAACTTTAAAAGTAAAAAAGTGAACAGTTTTGCAAAGTATATTTTTCACTAAGCTCTGCTGACCATTTTTCGAGCATGACAGTTCATAAATAAATGTTATCTATTCCGACTCGAGTCTGAATATATGGGTTTAATCTGTTATTCGGACTCGGGTCAGGAAAAAATGTTTTATTTATTCGGACTCTGCTTCTAAGTGAGTTATGTGAGTGTAAAAGGAGGCTACATAATAAAACTGTTGTCTGGGGATTTTACGTAAAATCAGAATCAGAACTAGAATTACGTACTAGGAGTGTGTAATTGTGTCAAAAGTCAAAAGACTGCACTTTCATTGCTCAATAGCAGTGTTTACATACACGGTAACTGACAACTCAGGGTCTTTCCACCACCACTACAGCCTCATCATTACTTCCACCACCATTTGTCTTTCCACATCATGTTTAATTTCAATTTGTTGGGTGTTATAGTTTTTCTGCAATTAATTTTCTTTGTTAAAATCACATCGAACAAAATCGACAGCCGTGTCCTCTTCCCCCAGCAAGCCGAGAGTGTGATCGCTACGCACAATCTCATTGGTCGACACAATTAACTTTGCCCCAGCAAGGTCAACTCAACTTGGCTGTTCTGTTCACTATATTGATACAGGGAGGGCCAGTTTTTATAGATTTTGTAACTGGGCAAAAAGCTCACGTCTCGATTGTTATCATTATAATCAAAAATGTTTTCATAAATGTTGGAAATATTAAGGAACAAGGGTCGAAAGTTGAAATGGACGTCATGCTGGACTCAATTCTGAGTCCGAATACGATAATGTTTGTTTAATCGGACTTGAGTATGAATAGTAACTTCGAAATAAATATCATTAAGTTTGATAAAGAATAACACATTGACCTCGGAAAAGATTATTGAAATTTTGTTAAATAATGGAAATCTCCTGTTTTGGTCCTTAGAGTAATATCCACAGTATAACTCTATAGGTTAGGGTAGGCCTATAGTTAAAGTTTAGGGGGGTAAAAGAGTATAGAGGCCAAAACTGGATTATCCACAATTATAACAAACATTTTTTTTTTTTGTTAAAGTGTTTTACGGCGCTCGCAAACTGCATAAGGTCATATGAGCACGCGGGACACACCTAATATTTTCAGTTGGTAGGAAATTTTGAATTTTGCCTGGGTGGCGGCCGAAGCCTACTCATCGATTTTAGACCACCAAGGGATCTTCAATGTGCGGAACTTACACACGGGCCCTCCGAGACTTTTCGCCCTTGTCCGAGAAGGCTAGTTGCAGATCTTTCCTACCAGAAGATCAGGGGTGTGGCAGAAAGACAGCAGTAAGGAGGAGCCAAGGAGTAGCAGTAGAAAGGCTGCAGAAAGAGTCAGGAGGCCAGAGGAGGGGGCAAAGAAGGTGAGGGGGTGGGGGCAGAAAGTGGAATTGAAAGCAGACAACAGAACATTGCTAGAGAGCAGGAAAGGAGGTGAAAGGAGACAATTTTAGAGAAGAAAATTTTTCGGTCGCTACCTGGATTCGAACCCGGGACCTTTGAATGAGAGGCCAACACCTTTTATTAACCTCTAGGCCACGAGAGCCCCCCTAACAAACATTGGTAAAGGTAAGAGTAGCAGTATTTTAAGAACGGCCCCTGCGTCCCGTGTCAGTTTAGGAATTCTGAGAGGGGAACTTTTTTTTTTTTTAATTTTTTACGAAGAGCTTTTCTAAGTAAAATGTTAATTATTTAGTCTTTGTAATTATAATGGCCTTTTAATTCCAGAACCTTTTTTATGGTCTTGACCAAGTTTATCTCCCTAGAAAAAATATCCTTGGCCTTCCAGTAGGCTATACAGGCCCACAAAAAAGAAGGGAGGAATTCCGTAATAAGTGACCAGGTCACTCAATAAAATCTAAAACGTTATAATCATGAGCCATCAAAATCTTTGCGGAAGGCGTAAAGGCAGGATGTTAATCCATGACTAAATCAAATCCGTTCACGTATTTTAAACTAGCGCCCAAAGATTTGAATCCTAGAAGGGGACTCATAGACTTTTGCTCAGTCACAGCCAGGTAGGTCTGCCCTGAAAGCGCCAGTAGGGAAACTCCCCCCCCCCCCCCCCTCACAGCCTGGCTGATTATCTTGAAGTCATTCTTCTTTGAAATCTTTGCTAAAGTTGTAAGTTGTAATTTACAGCTCTCTATGGGAATCATGAAGACCAAGGTTTATATTATTGATGCTTGTCATACATGAGATCATCTAAACTAAAATCTAAAATGTAAAATGACAGGCAAAATAAGAATGCAACGTAGGACTGGACAGGACAGACAGAGGAGCAAACATGGGCGCTTTTTCGGTAGTTCCCACCCCGCATTTGTTATTCGCCGGTTTTGGCCCCAAGAGTAGGGGGGTTTCAGGGGGGCTTGCCCCCCTGACCTAATAAAAACAAGGTGGGGGGTTTCAGGGGGGGCATGCCCCCCCTGAATTTTACCACAATTTAATGTTTTGCAGTTGTTAAGTTTGACATCTTAGCTTGCCGCGAATCAAACGTATAGATCTAGATGTAGGTCAGGCTCTATCAAATAAGGGGGGTGGGAACTACCGAAAAAGCGCCCAAACATGATCCATGTCTAGCCATGGTGAATAGCCTCATGTCATGGAGAGTAAAGTGATATCCATAATTTGCCAAATAATTTAGCCAATTTGATGCCAACAATATCAATGATTATACTGTCAATGATGACAAGAAATGACATTCATTAATTAATATTAATTGTAGGCCTATTGACCTATTGGCAGTAGGCCTGACTATGAGCACTTGAGTGAGTTGTGTATTCATGAATCTGAATCATATTCTTATTATAATACTTTTTTGTACTTTTAAAATACTTTATTCTGAATAACAAAGTATAGCCTACATGGAGAATGAGAGATACATGGTTAAAATCTTAGTGTGTCATTTCATTATTCATGGTGATCACGTTACGGATACACGGTCGGTTGACTTCTAAATTAATCTAAAGACAGTCTAGACTGGAATCTAAAACCGATTTCCAGAATTTTGAGGCAGCAGAAGACACTGTTGAAGTCTCGCAGACAAACCTTGTAAACATCTCCATATGTGCCACTCCCCACTCTTTGGATGAGTTCAAAATCATCCTGAGGGTTCCTTCTTAGAATATCCGCCGACATATTTGAAACACAAGAAGAAACTCCTCATACAGCGAGGATAATTTTACGTTAACGAAGTCAGACCATGGCTGATTGCTGTTATTCGCTTAGCCTCTTCTGTCATTTTTTTTACTCTCTCTGGGTTTATTGAGCATTTACTTCCGCACATGCGCAAAGGAAGATAAAAATGATTCACCTGAGTCGTCTTCCAGAAATTTCGCACAATAGACTGTTAAATTTTTGTCTAGATATCTACAACATGAAGTAAAGGTGTTACCCTTGAGACTCAGTCTCAAATGTTAATGACTTGTTTTCAAATCTATTCATACAAGTGGCTAGGGTATGGTGAGATCTTTACACATAAGCTTTGATTTATGTATGGTTGCAACGGTTGCTATGGTAACGGATAAGGTGTCTTGGGGGAAAAAACAACCAACAACAACAACAAACAGCTTATTAATATTACAATAATTGTATCTATTTACCAAATTGCCCCAAACTTAGGAAAGGTTTTGCTGAGCTTACTGTAGAATTTCACATAGATATAATCAATATTGATATTTATTAGGCCTATCTTATATTTAAGAGAAAACGGACTTTAATTTGAGATTTTCACCAGCACGTAACTGTGCTTCTAATTTGGCTACAAAATAGGTTGTAAATCTTTTTCTTTTTTTTTCGTCCTAAATCATTTCTGTTTGAAACGGTGTTTCTATGCAGTTTATGTGCTCTTGAAGTTTTATGTAAATAAGATATGGGGCAATTATTAAAGGAAAAGAAAACCAAACATGCTCAGATAGGCCTACACATCATCATGTTAGGTCTAGATTCTAGATCTACAGTTTTTTTAAAACGGTTATGCGAGTGTAATTTGGTTCTGATTAATATAACAATGAATGTGATGGTAGGCCCTATATACCTACAAATGAAACAGAGAGAGAGAGAGAGAGAGAGAGAGAGAGAGAGAGAGAGTGAGAGAGAGAGAGAGGGGGAGAGAGAGAGAGAGAGAGAGAGAGAGGGGGAGAGAGAGAGAGAGAGAGAGAGAGAGAGAGAGAGAGAGAGGGGGAGAGAGAGAGAGAGAGAGAGAGAGAATGTTTTACGGAGCGGGTTGTCCCATCACGTGAGACATGTATTTACATACTATAGGCCTAATGTCCAGCCTTGTTGTGCGTTTGCGTGAGTGCACCTTTAGGTCTAACTTTTGTAACGTCTACTGTCATTGTTAAATGACCAAGACAAATTTCTCCCTGCGAGATGAATAAAGATTGTCATTGTCATTGTTATATGAGCACCCAAGAGGTGGATGTCAACAGAGAAGTCCACAGGGAATCAGGCTAACTCTGCTCACCTCAGATCTCTAGCTTCAACAGCACAGTCTGCTTCGACTATCAAGGCACCCCGGAAAAAGCGGGTCACAAGAGAGCGCCAAACATACAAAAATGAGTAGATCAAGAGGGGAAATGACGATATAGTTAGGATTAGGAAAGAAAAAGCAGCAGTTCCCTGTATATGCAGTTCAGCTCAGGTACAGTTATGAGCATGACATTGATGAATCAGCCCTTTTACAATTCTACTGAGCATAAAAGAACATGTTTATTAAGTCCCCTCCCCCCCTGCCCCCTTTAGATTGGCCTTTAAGACAATTCAGTCAGTAGCACCGCTCCGAGGGGTGTACGCTACTTTGGCTATAGATCTAGCTGCCTCGACCTCAGTCCTAGACTTTTTTTCTGTTGCCTGTGGCCGAAGTTGTTTTTGGGTTTTTTCCCTCTATTCTTACAACTGCCTTGGACAGCTTGGTTTTGATAGAAGCGCCATCAAAGTTCAGGTTCAGTTTACCTGCATGCTGTAACCAGAATGCACCCCCAAGTGGTTCTTCAAGTAAATCGTAGGCCTATATAAAAGGTCAGTGTTAAATAACTCAGCTGTTGCAATGAGGGGGGTCAGCGCTTCTGTCTGTCTGTATGTCTGTCTGTGTGTCTGTCTGTGTGCCTCAGATCTCCCTCCCTCTCTCTCTCTCTCTCTCTCTCTCTCTCTCTCTCTCTCTCTCTCTCTCTCTCTTTCACACACACACACACACACACACACACACACACACACACACACACACACACACACACACACACACCCTCAGACACACACACATAGACACACACAGACACACACACACACACACACACACACACACACACACACACACGCACATACACAAACAATTTCTGTTTCAGTGGTGGCACGTCTTGTTGGGGTGCAGAGTGCAGGTCCTCTTCTAGTCAGATCTCTGCGCTCTGCAGCAATTATTTGTCTGCTGTCTAGATCTACAGTTCAAATTTCGTCAAACGTCCAGGAAATGATGCGTTTGGTGGCGGCCAGATTTTCCTTCATGGAGAGGCAAAAACTGCCATATTGATTTTGCTTGATCAAGCCCTCTAAATTCCAATTTATTTCATTTTCGTGGACACTATATTTTGATATGTTTCGTTTGATGAAAACAGTTCGTCAGAATGCTATGCGCATGAGTCAGTTCTTTAGTTTTGAGGTTGGAATGCGATAGGTGGCCTAGCCTAATGTGGACTAGGTCTAATTAATTGGTCAAGTTTGATAAAGCAAAGCAGAAATCAATTTGGTCATACGTTGGGCATTATCCCCCCGACCAGATTCGATCAGACATGCAGATCGGGTGCATTTGATCAATGAGCATCCGCTTTCAGCCTCTCTATTTTGTACGTGTTGGGTAAATGTGTTTTTTGGAGCAGAGGGTAATTTTGTGTGTGTGTGTGTGTGTGTGTGTGTGTATGTGTGTGTGTGTGTGTATGTGTGTATTTGTGTGCGCACGCGCGCGTGAAAGGAGGGATCAAGTGCAGTATGCGCTTAGTATGGCCACTAGAGTACAATGGAAGCTCCAAGAGTCATAACTGGCATTGATAAGCGACGGTACTTTCGCTTTTGCTGTGAGCAGTCATGTGTTGAGTACACTACCCATGGTACAGACCTGCCCATGCACATGGTTTTAAGCGCCACTATTCTTTCCCACTGTTGTGCATCACCCGTGTCTTTCTTATTATACAATACGATGTAATTTAATAGTTCTATTAAATGTAGATTTAGATCTAGGTCTTTTTAACGTCCCTATCGACCCTGTTGAACAAAGTGATTCAACAAAAATTAGAAACTTTTAGTTAAACAAATGTAAATGAAGAACCCTATCAATAAAATTGAATGAATTTATTGCAATATGAAGTGTTGAGAAGATCTGGAAATGAAGATATCAGCACGACCATGAGAGGGAAGATATGGGGATATCTAGGTCATGTTTTTGGGAATGCCAGAGACAAGATTTCCCTGTCAGATATGATATTGGAGACCGACTGAAAAAAGAAGAAGAAGAAGACCAACTGGAAGTTTCCGGGTACAGAAAAACAACGAGGGATGAGGCAATCACGCAGCCTAGATGTGCCAAGATTGAAGGAGGTGGCTGTGAGGAACAGACAAGCACGGCGTCGACTGCTCAGGCGACACGTACCTGGCGGTATGGGGAGAGAGTCGTTGGCCATTGGCACGGTTTGCATAATAGGCTTAATTGTACGGCAGATTCAACCCTAGATGTCAGGACCAACTCGGTCGGTCCGAGGGGGATATATTATATTGATATAATATCCTAGCTGACAGACCGAGATGCTCGATTTAAACAATTCTCCACTTACATGGAAATCGAATTCTGTTCTTCTGTGAGCGACGGAAAAGTACGCGATCACAGATGCTGGCTGACTAGTATTGATGTGCCTCTCTTTACTCTAGCAAAAAAAAAACAACTAGTCCATATGCTTTTCTCATCTCAAATGCTGAGACTTGTACGGCACATGTACATATGTAGTAGAGTAACTGCAATGTTCTGATGACTCTTTTCACTGCACCCCCCCCCCCCTCAAATCCCGCGACCACATCTTCCGTCGCGGAGAATGATGTCACGTTTGCAATTATCAGCGATCAGGTTTCTCTACTCAGAGCCCACCCGCAGGTCTGCACGGTCACCGTGGCCTGAGTGGAGCGGGACACACTGTCACAGCGGACATGAAAGTTGTTGTTTGTTGTTGTTGGTTACCCGTCCTCTTGTACATCTAGGGCGTCGAGGAGGGAAAGAGCTCACTGTCTCTAGCAAGTTTGATGGCCTGGCTGGGTGGGGTATTGCATGTTCTTAGGGTATCCTTCACACCCTGGATCCAGGTCTTTCTTGGTCTTCCTCTTGCCTTGTATCCTGATACTTTTCTGTTGCAGGCTTTACTGGCAAGCTGGTGAGGTGCCGTACGTGTGAAATGTCCAAACCACCGGACCGTTTGCATTCGAACGTAGTAGAGGACAGGTGTTGTTCCCATCATACGGAGGTACTCATTAAAAACTTAAGTATGCGGGAATAGGACTAACTTCTTTACCAGCTTAAGAAGGCGCCACATCAATGCAGGAAGCTATGTATACATGTGGTCTCGGGATGAAACACTGTAGGCAACTGTACACCACCAGCTTTACTTTTGCTGTTGGTGTTGTATGGGTAGGCCATATTACGTATCGACAACCTGAACAGCTAATGAGGGACGCGGCATGCTGCTGTTGTAAACTATCCTTGGGAATCTACCCCCTCCAGACAAATTCACCCCACCCCAAAAAAACAAACAACAACAAAAAACAAACAAACCAACAACCCCCCTGCTTCAATTCTTCAGACCCCCCTCCCTCCAGTACTGTCTCTAGCCTAACTGTGTTGACTATCTCAAGACGAAATGCAATCTGTTTTGTTTGAGATTCTAATAATCTAGATATACATGTAGGCCTATAATTGCTGCTGTTGCATCTGTTCTTTCTAAGTCACGCTCTAAAAGAAAATAAAGGACCCCCCCCCCCCCTCAATCTCACCACCGCCCCTCTCTTTCTTAATCTCGTACTCCTACTAGCGCTAATAAAAAAAAAGAGGGCTTTGCTGTAAATTACTGAGTAGGCTTGTGAACACGCTCATACACGCACGCACGCACGCACACACACACACTCACATACACACATAAACAAACAAATAAACCATACACACATTCAGGCACACGCCCACACAAAAACATACTCACACATATTTTTTTAATGTTTGTATGTTAGTGAGATGCAAGGCGTCTAAAGGTCTCAATAAACATGTTGATTCTCTCTAATAATAAGCTCTCTCTCTCTCTCTCTCTCTCTCTCTCTCTTCTCTCTCTCTCTCTCTCTCTCTCTCTCTCTCTCTCTCTCTCTCTGTCTCTCTCTCTCTGTCTCTGTCTCTCTGTCTCTGTCTCTGTCTCTCTCGCTCCTTTTCACTGTGTCATCGGCAGTCTCAGTTGTCTCTCCTTCACGATACTCCGTCAAAAGTCATTATATTAGGCCTATATTATAGCCTTTAGGCCAATGCTTTATTTCACCTACCCAGCACTTTCAATGTCGAGATCAATGTGAAAAAGAATAGTTCGAATCGAACTTGAAAGTTTAATTGCTTTGGTCACGAGCAAAGACCAACAACATGACTGTGAGGGCTACCCAGGGAGCATTCATTGATTTTTATTAGTGTGACGTGTAATGGCTGCGGAGTCAAAACATGGCAGCCCACAGTAGAAGCCGAGCAACTTGGACACAATGGGGTTCAGTATTTACGGTTGTTTTTGTCTTGGCGACAACAGTTTTATCACAGCAGCCGATTATTCCTAAAAAGAAGCTTTGTGGGGACAATGAGTGCAAAGGTAAATGAGTGTTAAGTAGTAGCCTTCCTTCGTTCATACACACAATACCGTATCACCACTACTATTGTCATCAACGACGAATCAAGAAGAAAGAATCAAATTCAAGTTCAAGAATCAAGATTTTTTCAAGGACCTAGCCTAGATTACCCTAGATTCTAGGACTCTAGCTTACTCTTACTTACTAATTTATATTCTAAACGTCTTGTGTGTTGTCTAGATCTAGATTTAGTTCTGATCGATTCAGGTAGGAGATACGGCACTACTTGGAAAATGGTGGTCCCGACTTTTGTGACAGGGAAATATAACCCAGAGAAAATCTAGAATCTAGACTTAGAATCTAAATCTAAATCTAGTTTTGACCCCAACGACGATTGAAAGTGGCTATTCTCACCCGCCCGGAAGTTCTCGCAAGATCAACTCCTCCCCTCTTCTCTCTCTCTCTGTCTCTTTCTGAATACTGTCTATCGGTGTGGATGATCAAATTGACCCAAAACAAAGTTAAAAAATGATGTTAAAACACAAAAGTAAATTAATTTGGTTGTCTACAAAGATGCTACGGCTATTTAACTTTTCGAATCGAGCCGAACTACGTGGGTCGCCATTTTGTTTTGCCCGGAAATTCTCGCGCTACTCCTCTCTCTCTTTCTCTCTCTCTCTCCACTGCCCACAGACAAAATTGTACGCTTTTAGTAGGCTACAGTTGTAATGGAACGTTTGTTCATGGCACAGAATTCTACAATTTTTCTGTTTTCACAGTGTAGAATTCTGTGGTTTAGGGTGAACGCAAAATTTGGTGAACGCGCACCGGGTGAGAATAGCCACAAGACTCGCCTGCACTATTCTCACTCCGGGTGAGAATAGAGGTGGCCACGACGATTACTTCTGGTCCTAAGTCTAAACGATTACTTTTTGATTTGCGTGCCGATATATGGAGAGATAGTTCTAAACCTTTCAAACCTAATTGCAAAACATCAAATCGTGGTCAAATTCAGGGGGGCATGCCCCCCTGAAACACCCCATGTTATTTTTGTGTAAAGTCAGGGGGGCAACCCCCCTTGCCTTGTGAAAAACAAGTGAAATTTTACTGCTCATTTTGTAGGCTCGATTTAGATCTAGGCTACTGATTAAACATAAAACGTTGATACCGGCTACTATTTAAATCAGTATATCGATATTTCAGTAGGCCTACACAAAAGTCGGGACCACCATATCCTAGCAGTGCCGGAGATGCGATAATAAGAATTTCGAAGTGACTATTTCTCTGAACGCTTGGGAAAATAAACTAGATCTCTATTTCTCCGAACGGTTTCCATTCTAAGGATTTTTTTTTGATTTGCGAAATTCTAAAGGCGTCCTGCCATTCTGCGAAGACTGGGAAGAAGCATTTTTTGCATCGAATTTAATTTCTAGAGCTAGATTAGATTCTACAGATTTTAAAATCATGTCTGAACATTCAGATACACTTCAGTTGTAGTTGAGGCAACGTTCCCGGACTATACATTGTACTTCATTTGGAAATGCCTTCAAAAGGTACTGCGAGAAAACAAGACTGCTCGACCTTGGCAGTAACCTATTTTGCATTTAGTCACCCCTAAAGCAAATACTAAAATCCTTCATGTAAACCCCCCAAAAAATCCCTCCCCGCCCCCACGCCTCGTTCACACCTTACACACACACAAACACACACGCACACACTCTCACACACACTCACACACACACACACACACTCACACACACACACGCATACTCTCACACACACACACACACACTCACACCGCGCGTTATCAACAAATCTCGAGAACGAAAACCGTTAGGAAAAATAGAATTCAAGTTTATTTTCGCGAGCGTTCTGAGAAATAGAGCTGGCCATGGAATTTTACAGATGACATGACTTATTTACCTAGAGGCTACCCCCAACAATCTTGAAATGTTTTGGAATTGCTTAGAAATTAAGATTCAGATTTCACCTTTTCATTAAATTCAAGTTGAAGCAAGCATTCTCTGTTGTTGGCAGGCTAAGAGGTCTCAGTTTTACAAACCATGAAGCAGGGTAATGCTAGCTGGTTAGTCAAGGGTAAGAGTCAAGAGCATACAGGGAGTGCACTCCCTCACAACAAGGATGTGTCTCTAAGTACACGATAACCGGGCACACATAGTCTCAGGGTCTACGTACACGGTAACCGGAAGGTCCACCCTCGTTCTTCACAGAAGTATCGTGTTGTGTTACTCACCGTGTTGTGTGTGCACTGCGCCAACTCCGAAATTCTCCGGTGCATTGTGTGAGGCCACTTTGTTTGACAATGGCCTTTTCAGCTGTCTTTTTTTCTCTATCCAAGTTCATAGTAGACACCTTGTGTAGATCTAGATGCACGACTACTCCATCCGACCCCAACAGCGGGACTGTACGGGAATCCCCTTTTTTTTATATGTAAACTTCGGCCTAATTACTTTACGTTTGGGTTGGCGGGGCAAGGAAAGTGTCGAACTTGGATACAGTGGGAGAGATCATTCAAGCGAGCTGTATCTGGGGGAAGGGGGTTGGGCGATCGGGGGCTGAAGGTGGGCTCCTAACAGGCAGTCAGCGGTGCGGCATTTTGATTGGCCAGTACAGTGATGAGTGAAAGGGGGGGGGGGGAGGCGAAGCAGTTACCGTACTGAGCTCAAGGCGCCCATGAAATTAAGTACCTGGTTACCGTGTACGTAGATACTGAGACTACGTGCCCGGTTACCGTGTACGTAGACATTCCGTCACAACAAACCTCAAATTATGGGTGGTTCACGGACGCTTTGGTGTGGTCTCTGCTAGTCTTTTACTATAATCTAGCAATAGCACACGCCCCTCGTGGCAGTGCGAATACGCTGTAGACTCGCCCGAGCCGGGGGTAACCCCTGGAACACGCTTTTTTATAGCATTGTTCTTTGCGTCAGCCCCATGTAGCATACATCAATACACGCGGGAGAAATTGAGGCATTCACTCAAGAAAATTTTTTTCATATATTCTTTAGCGACAGCCGAGTTATTATCGAAGAAAGAGGATTGGTCGGTAGCGAGACCGAAACCTGCCGAATGGCAAAGTGATTTTCTGACTCTCTGTATTTGGAAGGTGCGGAATCCATCTACATATTAGCCAAAAGTCCCCAAACTTGGCAACCAATGAGAAGAAAGATAGATCTAGCCTCCGCTGATTTCCGTGTCTTAATCGAGCTAAAAATAAGAAAGTTACAAGGTGGTTTCTTTGAGGAGATTGTTTTAAAAAAATGTGTGGTTGATTAATCCGCGGAATGCTCCTGCATCATCTCAGACAAGCTGAACTTTATAATATTAGAAACTATTTCTTGAAATTATCCGTAAAACAATTGCATTTTGAAAAAAATAATGTCGACGTCATTCCTGTTTTTTGCATGGCCCGAAAGCCAGAAAGGGAAACACTGCCGCTCACAGGAAACGCTTGCCGCGAGATGTGTAAGCTTGCCGCCATCTCGCTGTGACGTCACGGCTGCGTTAAAGCGTAGCCACTGATTGGACAGTTATTTTGATCTGCTTGAATACCGCGAACATCATACTCATAGACACGGGCGTATTGAAGGTTTTTTTCTATTTGCCGTCACGAATATTTGGGCTTAATTTCGGGTTTAAGCTAATTTAGTGCTGATATGGACTTCAAGATAACTGCATATATATTATATTCTTCCAGTATTTACAGTGTTTTTGGCAGAAGCAGAGTGAAGATTACTCAAGCATTATATTTCCATGGATTTAAGCATACATATTATGTGTAGGCCTACTTACTCATAATAATAATGCTAAAAGCAGAAGAACTATTATTACAGAATTAGTTCTGAGGAATATTTTCATGGTATGGAAAGGGGGGAGGGGTGGAAAATGGGAACATATTTTCGCTAGGCTTAATAAACTATGTACTTAATTAGTTATGCGCATTATAATCAATTTGAGTTATTTGCATCTAAAATAGTTTAATGTATTTATTAACCTTTTAGTTTCCCCCCTCTGAGCTCTTTGGTTACTATTTGGTTAATTAATTATGCACATATATAATATTCAAATTGAGTGCATAATCAAACATTTAAAACCTTATTTGTCACTAATTCGTCTCTTTGCAAACACAGATTTGTATACATCCACATGTAACAGAATGGGCATGTCTATTATTAAGACATATTATATTGACTTATTTAAAAAAAAATAATGCCTATTTAATTATTTATTTGCATACCGGGTATTGAGATTACAACTTTAATTTTTCCATTTTCTATTTTGTTGCCCCAATATATATACATAAACTCACCAATTTTGAGCTCATTCCATTGATAAATGTGAAAGTTATGGGTTTTCAATATTCTGGTGCCGTTTGCCCTTTTTTTTCTTCTCCAAAATACCCACAATTTCCGACATGTTCACAGCCATAACTTTTTTATTTATGGACTGATTTTGAAAATGTAAAAAATTTTACTTCTGGATTATTGATCTTTGTACCTGTGTTGTTTATAGATTAATAGTACCCATCTTTAAAAAGCTGTGGCATTGCCTTATAATCAGACATCTATCATCCTCTTCTCTCTCCTTCTGTTTTGTGTATGTTACATTACTGTCTTGTAACGCCTCTAATCGGTCACTTTTATATGACTTAATTGTGTTGCAAGGGCTGTAAAACTCTTACTAAAACAATTTTTAAAACTGAACCTCAAATTTATTTGAAAAATAAAATCTTGTCACCAACTTCCTAGAAATTGAACAGGGAAAAGTGAATGATGTTACAATTATTATATAAAGTGATATATAATATAGACTGCTGTAAAATACTCCTCCTAACAGTGTCAATTTTATATGTGATAACAAAGTTGTTTTTTTTCTGCCTCCTTTGGAGGATACATTTGTTTAGAAAAACGTATCTTTTGGTGACAAGTCTAAACCAACTGTCCTCATAAATGAAATCTTAGAAGTTAATAACCAACATACTGTGTTACTGACTTTGGTAGTTCAGACTCTCAATGATAAAAAAAATCTCCTTTGATGCATTGTCTCTGCTCTGAGATATACACTTGACAAGTAAAATGAAATTTCAAATGCTGGGCATTTCTCGTCTATTATTATTCTTTCTTTTTGTCCTGTACTCTAATCTGCCCAATTTTAAATGCTGCTTACTTTATTTTCAGAGACCATATCTTTAGCCAGAGCTCTGAACAGATTTTCTGGGGGTGATCACCCTCTACAGTTGTCGTTTAAAGCAGGACAACTCATCTATGTCAAGAGCAAGTCTGTAGAGGAAAACTTGTGGGAAGGAGAGGTAAGTCCTAGTATGTTAGATGACAGATGTGAAAAATGAAGTAGAAACTGCTTGACACGTAAAATTATAATGTTACTCAGCAAGAATAATGGAGGGGGCTCTCGTGGTCTAGATGTTACGTTGTTTGCCTCTCCTTCAATAGGTTGTGGGTTTGAATCCGGATGGCAACGGAAAATTTTCTTCTCTAAAATTTTCTCCTTTCACATCCTTTCCTGCTCTCTAACTATGTACTGTTGTCTGCTTTCGTCCCCACTTTCTGCCCCCCACCCCCTCACCTTCTTTACTCCCTTTACTGGGCTCCTGACTCTTTCTCTAGCCTTTCTACTGCTACTCCTTGGCTCCTTCTTACTGCTGTCTTTCAGCCACACCCCTGATCTTATGGTAGGAAAGATCTACACCCAGCCTTCTCAGACAAGGGCGAAAAATCTTGGAGGTCGCGTGTGCAAGGTGGTTCAAAATAAAAAAGAGTAGGCTTCGGCCGCCACCTGAGCAAAATTCAAAATTTTCTACCAACTGAAAATGTTTAATGTGTCCCGTGGGCTCATGTGACCTTATGCAGTTGCGAGCGCCGTAAAACACTTACAAAAAAAAAGAAGAATAGTCGATCATCAAAAGTGAAAATATAGCAACTTGATAGATATTATTGCTGTCCGAAGAAAAATGAATGGCTCCTTCTGACTCTGCTTTTCAGCATTAGAATTTAGAAGTATTAAAATATAATTTGAAACTGAACTTTTTTTCTTTCCACATCAGTGACAATATTGATATATATATATATACATTGTTTTTCATGATATTATGAAAATTGTTTCACTTTATCAATGTTGGCATTTTCAATCTCATCTCGATAAAGATCTTGTTTCCAAACAGTTGGTATTTTGTTTTCTTTAAACACCATTTTTACCTCTATTTTCAATGCTTTTCATGAGTATAGAAGTAATGAGTGTGTGTGTGTGAGAGAGAAAGGTCACTTCATCTTATCCTTTATATGTATATATCTATATGTATCTCTTCTCTAGTTTTATCATTTTTATCCAGTCTCCTTTGCTTATTGCTGATTATCCATAGCAAAGTTAGTACTAATAAACTGTCGTATTTATTTACAGCGATCAAGGCCTAGCGATTAGGAAAAAAAATTCATTCAATGATTGAAAAAATGAAGATGGTTCCATACAGGAAGCAGAATGACTAGTCTACCTCCTCCAAACTCTAAGGAATGGAGGTAGTTGGTGCTAAATCAAGATTGAATGAACTTAACTGTCTGCCAGTAATGGTATTTATGCTTGATAATAGTTACCCCTTATAATGAGAATTGGTAATAAATCATCAATGCCCAAAAAGCTAATGTGCAAGAGCAGATTTATTTATTTGATGCCTCACAACTCGTAGATTACAGACCAACTGGGATCCATAAAAGTATAAAATTGGAAAATAGCAGGGGACAAAAAAAAAAGGGAGAGGGGGGGGGGGGGTCTCTTACAAACATCATTCGTTTTTAGCAGTGGTGGTGGTATATGATGCATGTAGGGTTGGGGTTTTATTTGTGTGCTTTTCTTTATTCATCAGAATTTACTTTCATTATGTTACCTTCTAGATAGGCTTTGGCACTAAGATTCTGTGTTCAAGTCTAAGCTACGTTTGTCCTTTTGGTGCCTATATCTTGGTATGGATGTGTGTCAGTTGTGTTGAGTTTGTATTACCTTTTCATGACGTAATGTGGATTTTACTGTGTTTTTGCAGGCAGACGGACAGACAGGTTACTTTCCTAGAAGTTTTGTGAAAGAGTTCAAGGTTTATGTTGAGAAGCCGCGGTTTGAGATTGAAACAGAGGTAAGGAGAGTAGAGTCATTGCCCATGTTGGTGTCACTGTGGACTTAGATCGTTTCATGTGGTTTGTCATTTTCCCTCACTGCTGAGAGATGTTCACAATGCATGGTCTGCTTCTTGGTGGCTTATGTGACTTTTACAGTGTGTGAACATTTGCATCATTGCAGTTTACCTTATGCAAAACAGAGTGGGTAGTTTGAAGGTGACTGATAGATCCTGTCTCTCTTCTTTCCTTTTGTTGTTTCTGTTCATATTGGTTTTATCCTTGCATTAAATAACTATTACTGTTTGCTCTTTGTGCTCAATACATGAACAAAGCTACTTTAATTTGCAAAGTGAGCTGCACCTGAAAGTTTGGCCAATTTTGTACCTGCTAAATTCTTGTTTCAGATGTGAAATTTATAAAAACATGAAAATAGCATTTGATTTGACACAGTGCAAGGCTAAGAAGGAGCTTTAATACTTTGCCATCACAAGGCGCATATATAGTACAAACCCTTTCCACCAAAGGCAAAGTCATTTTGGGGAAAATCCAAAGAAACTGGGTAGTAAATATCGCCGATTAGGGAGATGCAATGGCAAAGTGTTAAGTTTGTACAGTTTTGGCGCTAGAGGTCACCCATGGACTTGGTCTACATTTTCATTGTACTTTGAGAAACAGGCCATTTTGTACATTTTTATATAGTTGCACCTAACATGAGCACTGACAGGTAAGCTTTGTGCTATAACCAAGCAGCTCTTTGCGTGAAGGACAATCTTTGAATAGGCTTATTTATTGCGAGACAGCATAACTTACAAATTATACAGTAGTTTATTTGGGTTCTTATGCTTCTCCTGTGGATTGAACAGGGCTGCTTTTGATTTGGTCGTCACCCCCCCACACACACACAAACACGCTTTTGTTTGCGATGTCTTTATTTTAGTATTGCTGGTTACATTGATTACGTACTGGTTTAGTGTTCCTTTAGCAAACGGGATTTGTTGTCTCAGAGTGGGTGGTTGGAGGTGTTTCTTTTGCTTTCCCTTTACTGATTCTCTCTGTTTGTCTTGCCTTTTTCCTGCACTAAATGACCATAATTGTGTCAGTGGGTTTCTATTTACTCCAACTCAAAAACTGTCCTATCATGATGAAATGCCTGTGTGACAACCTTTGGCAGGGTTTGTAGAGAACATCCCAGTACGCAGGGCGGTCTTCTAGAACCTCAGAGCTTTTACCTTGGGGGAGAGGATGTCTTTTAACCTTACAACCAACATCGGAGCTTGTCACCTTGTTCATGCTCCCAGCATCCATTTTTGGCACTTGAATATTCTTTTCTTTTCAGTTGTTTTAATAGAGATTTTACGGCGCTCGCAACTGCATAAGGTCATATGAGCGCCAGAAGATTAGAGGTGTTACAAGAGAGTAACAAACGTAAAAAAGAAGAAGGGGGAGATAAGGACGATAGATGTTTGATAGGAAAGAAGGAGCAAACCACACCAGAGCACCCGCCAACCACCCACGCTTGGATATTCTGTTGATGGAACAAATGAAAGACTTATAAATTAGTAGGCTTTTTTTGTTCTTTTTTGTTGTTGTAAATAATAAGGCCTGTGAAGAGGAGAGGTCAACATATTCAGTCTCATAGTGTGCTGATACTTTATGAATGTTAAGGCTGTTCCAGGGCTTTTGTTTTAAATCAATAATAAACTTTATTTCTTTTGTTTTCTCTTCTGCAGGGGAATCCTTTTGACAAGATTGGGAGACAAGCCCCACCCCCACGAGACAGAAGGCCTCGAGATCCCGCTGAAGGTTCTCCCCCACCCCCAGAGCAAGTAGAACCCTCAGGGAAAGAGCCAGAGAAACGTGATGACGCGCCCGAGACACATGATGACACGCCTGAGAATGGTGATAACACACCAGACAGCCAACGCGATGGTGCTTCCGACAGCCAGACTGTGCCAGTGGTGGACACAGCTCCCACAGATGATGGATCGGAAAAGGAGTCGGGCAAGAACTCTGGGATCCCCAGTCCTGAGACACACGACGGTGCTGACAAACCAGAGGAAAAACTTGTGGGCAAAGAGGAAGAAGCAGAGGAAAAGACAGCGGAGGCTGGTGACCGTTCGGCTGATTCCAGTGTGGACAGGGATGAGACCGAGCTGGAGGAGGATGAGGAGGATGAGGATGGTGATGAAGAACAACCAGGTAATGTGGGACTAGCAGGTTGTCTTTCTAAGAATTCTTTGTAGTGGCTAGTTGTACCTGTAGTGGTGTATGTGTTCTATGGTTATGTCCCTTTGTTTTGTACCCCTGAGCTGGCTTTTGGGAGTGCTTTATGTTGGGGTGTGGGTTCAGAACTTTGAGGGCATTATTTTCATTCATATTGATTTCCTTATGCTTTTTGTTTTTTAAATATTTTTTTTGGTTTATGTTCAAAGGTATAGAGTTGGTTTTCCCTCTGAAGCCCTATTTTTCAATCAAGTACTTGTCTGAATGTGGCACATTTCTGTGAGGTTTCTCATTCATATTTTGGAATAATCAGATGTTCCTATTTGAAGCAATGAAGAAATAAAATCTGATTTTTGTTTCAGACAAATCAACTTGTAGGCTTGGAAAGATCGAGGTCCCTACATATCGTGCAACTTGGCTGTATGTCTTAAGACAGTTGATGAGATGTTCTGTTTTTTCATTGAATTATTGAGCTTTGAGAAAATGCAGTGCCATAAAACTATTGCTGGAGTTATAAAGTGTCTCTTAATTCTTTTCCTGTCTTTTAAAGAGTGCAGAATTCAGTAATGCATATTTTGCCTGTCGAATGTAATTTCTTAAAGGACACTTGTCTATGTGTATGTTCAGAAGAGTTGAATCCTGAGATTGACGCCTCGCAGTGGGAGGAGCTTGAAGACACAGAGTTTGAGGAGGAGCGCGACAGAGGAGACACTGCAGGTTGATGGTCACAGTTGTTGCCTTGTGTGACGTGCAGGGTCACTCGACTAAAACTCTAGACTCATATTTACTAATAATCTCACAAAGTTTGCTTTTTTAAAGCCATTTTACTCGGAATTCTTGACTCATCAATACTAATTGCGTCATTAAGTTTTCTGTGTATTATGCTAATTCACTTGACTTGGAATTTGAACTCACAATACTAATGACTGCACAAAGTTTGCTGTTTATTTTGCAAGTTCTCTTGGTACTTTGATTTATCTGTACTAATGACACCACAAAGTTTGCTGTTTAGTATAGAAGGGATTTGGACATGACTTTGACTCATCAGTGCTAATGGCCTCCCAGATTGTGCGACATAACATGCATGGAACAATTATGTTTCTGGCTGATATCACGTGTAGCTCAAGGACCTGTGTAGCATTCACGAGTCCTTATAATCCCTCAAAGATTGTCGTTTTGTGTTGCATCAAGAGTAATCACGTTGCCAATGTCTTCTGTCTTCTTCACAAGTTCTCTGTATAATGTGCATGAACCAGTTCCCCGAAAGTTCGTAGTCTGCATGCATTTTTCATACTCTCACTAACACCAAGCATAACTGGTATGGAAGAAGTTGGACCCAATAGTGGTATCCTCCAATTATCACCTGTGCTGCTCATCCTGTCTATGGAGTAAATCCCTGCTCATTAAAACCTTCTGTCATTCAGACCATCTCCATGTCGCCCAAACAGTAATGGCAGAGTCTGGAATATTTTAGTGCGCCAGAAGGAAAGAGAGGCAGAGGGTGACCAAGACACCGATGGACAGACAATATGAAAGATTGTAGAGGAGGCATGGATCAGCTGAATGTAAGACAACGATGTGAGAGACAGTAGCGTAGAAAACCTTGACTCCTCTACCCCAGCTCCCGAAGGACACCTCACAACAAGTGTGCACAATCAACTCTGATGTGTAAACCTGTGGGCGCGCCTGGAGGAATGGGACTTTGTTTTTTGTTTTTTTGTTTTTGTAAAGTGTTTTACGGCGCTCGCAACTGCATAGGTCATATGAGCGCGCGGGACACACCTAATATTTTCAGTTGGTAGGAAATTTTGAATTTTGCCCGGGTGGCGGCCGAAGCCTACTCTTATCGATTTTAGACCACCAAGGGATCTTAAACGTGCGCAACTTGCACACGGGCCCTCCGAGATTTTTCGCCCTTGTCCGAGAAGGCTAGGTGTAGATCTTTCCTACCAGAAGATCAGGGGTGTGGCAGAAAGACAGCAGTAAGGAGGAGCCTAGGAGTAGCAGTAGAAAGGCTGCAGAAAGAGTCAGGAGCCCAGAGGAGGGGGCAAAGGAGGTGAGGGGGTGGGGGCAGAAAGTGGAAATGAAAGCAGACAACAGAACATTGCTAGAGAGCTGGAAAGGAGGTGAAAGGAGACAATTTTAGAGAAGAAATTTTTCGGTCGCTACCCGGATTCGAACCCGGGACCTTTGAATGAGAGGCCAACACCTTAACCTCTAGGCCACGAGAGCCCCCGCACTTTGTTTGGTCAAGGCATCAATCAATGTGTGATGTGAAACATGATGATGATGTTACATGTGAGATGATGTGGGAAGACTTGGTGTGTAAATGCGCGTGACTGACCCGAAACATGAGCAGCCAGTACCAGGACATAACCGTATTCTGCCTGTTCTGGTGTACTTGACTTTCAAAATGGACCGTGTCAAGACAGAGTTACATATTGTCAATTGAATATATTTTTTAGAAAGCAGCAGAATCACTTAAAATCGTGTATGCAGGGAATGTGAACTGTGCCGAAACGAAAACGGCTTTTTGAAGACTACAGCTCGTATATTGTCCATATATGTCAGCAGACGCATTACTGTACTGTACCTTGGAATGAAGATGTGAGGTGAGAGAGTGCTGGACAATGTGGTCACATCCTGGGTTTGTTCTGACACTGACCTCTGATCGTGGGGGGGTCATCAAGCATAAATGTACTGTGACTTTCTGTCCCTGGCCTTCGTGCTGAAGCTTGACCCATGTCTGGAGTCGGTGTTTGTTCATGAAGACGTAAGATGTGCCCTCTGTCTTTGGGTACCTCTGATTTTGTCTTGGGGAAACTCAGTCCTTTCAATAGGAAATAAACCTTATATGATCAGTGTCATTTCACAGTCGTGTTAGTCATTCTTTGACGTTTAGTGAAATTTAAAGAAACAGAGTGGCTCAATTGGAACCATGATTTTGCCGCTTATTATTTCTGAATTAAAAACTTGGACAGAAAAGATGAAACAAAATGAAACTGTCTAGTAAAATTCCTTTTAACGTCTTCATTTCAATAATACCTTGATGTGGAAAATCCCCAGAATTTGATGTGGGTGATCGTGGAATGATGCTAACAAATGATCCTCTGAGAGAGCTCCCACTAATTATTTGTTCTGTCTGAGACCTTATGGGGTGGCTGCTATATGCTTTACTTGTATGTCCTGAACCTTGCTCGTGTCAGCCATGTCAGCCATGTTGCTGGTCTTCCTTTTTTTCTTGTTCTCACTGAGTTGTGGGTGGTGCATGTGCATGTTGATGTTTGTGCATAGACATTTATATAATATACGTATACATATTTATTTTTGTGTCTTTCCTTAAGGTTTTTTCTCTGGTTTCGTTGATTCCGTCAAAGGTTTGTACAAAGCACCCATCAAGTTGTTCATCGGTTTGTTTTTTTCTGGCACCATTTTTACCTCTCCTCTACATGTGCTTCGTGTCCTCTGTTTTCTTCTACACTTGTAAGAATCTCTTCTTGTTGTGCCAGGTTTCATGGTTTGAGACTTTTCGTTATCTTAGACAAATTGGGTGGTTGGCGGGTGCTCTGGTGTGGTTTGCTTGTTCTTTCCCATCTGACATCTATCGTCCTTATCTCCCCTTTTTCTTTTTTATGTTTGTGACTCTCTCGTAACACATCTAATCTTCTGGCACTCACCTGACCTTATGCCGCTGCGAGCGCCGTAAAACCTCTACGAAAACAAAAAAGACAAGTTAGAGGAAAATCATAATCTTTTCAATAACGCAACCATCACTAATACATGATAATTGTTATTTGGAGTCTTGAATAGATCATCTTCAGTGATTGTTTCTGTTGTCACTGATAATACAGGGTGCCCTCTACAGCTGGATCGGGCCGATCGCCCGACTCGTTCCCCTGAAACTGAAAACAAACACGTTTGTTTTTGAGGCGATCGAGTCGGGCGATTGGCCTGATCGGCCGATCCCATCCGTAGTGGGCACCCCGTATAAGATGTTTGACTGTCTGTATTATTTTAGATTGAATTGAACCCCCCCCCCCCCCCCCCCGCCATGGAATACAAATGGTAATGATGCATTTGTAAGTTTAGACCTATGCAACAGTTTTCTCTCCTAACCCCCCCCCCCCCACCACTTTCTTTTCTTTTTTTCTTTTCCCGTAAGCATATGTGTTGTAGCTTTCAATGTTTCTGACCTTTCATGTATACAGAATATCAAAACGATTATTGAAATAAATTTGTTCAAGTATATCACTTAAACTCTTTAGTGGGTGGTTGGCGGGTGCTCTGGTGTGGTTTGCTTCTTCTTTCCTATCAAACATCTATCGTCCTTATCTCCCCTCCTTCTTTTTTATGTTTGTTACTCTCTTGTAACACCTCTAATCTTCTGGTGCTCATATGACCTTATGCAGTTGCGAGCGCTGTAAAACCTCTACTAAAACTAAAGAGTTAACTTTTAAAGAATTTAATCTAGTCGTGGATTTCTTTTGGTCTCTCAGACACTTTATACTGCTCATTGCAGTCCAGGTCCCTGCATTTGTCAGGATGACGTTTGGATCAAACAAAGTGTATTTCTCTCAGTTTTCTCTCTCTTGCCCGGCTTACTGTGGTGAGGACATTACTACGCACTGTTGAAGTTTGTCCTGCCTTATATTGGTTCTGTAATCGACTCTCTCTCTCAATCTTTTCAGTTGTTTCTTTTTATATTTTTCAAAGCTTGATGTAAAAAAAAATTGCTTTATGTTCTGCTGTAATTTTAACTGTACTTTCCATCCTTTTTTTGGTCTCTGTTTTCAAGTTATTGTGCAAAGCTTTATCTCTTAAATCTACTCCACGTGCTTTTGTTTCGTTCCTTCCTTTCTAAATAGATCTGGAAGGTCAGCACCTCATTTTTAGAGACAATTCCTGCCCCCACCCCCACCCCGACCCTTAACCCCCCCCTTTAAAAACAAATATCACCTGCCTCATATTTCCTCATTTATTTACCGCTCTTCCAAAGTTTCATGTCTTCGTTCACCATTGTGATGTCAGCTGTGCTGTGTGGTGCAAAATGTTGAGCTTACACAATCAAATTGTGTCAATAGTGCTGTTAAAAACGTACTCCTTAACCCAATGTTTTGAACCCATGTCGTCGTGTTTGTGGGGAAAGTGACTGATGACGGGATGCTGTGGTGGTCGAGTCGCTGCCGAAAGATGGAGATAATAGAGATACTCAATGAAATGCCTCCCCCGTGTGGGAACTAAACTCACATCCTTCCCGTGCTAAGTAAAAATTTTTATCATTACAGTAAGGATGCCAGTGCACAATTTTTTTTTACATTCATAATAGAGTAGTCTCTGCCAGTACATGATCCAGTTTTGTTACAGCTTGGTTTATTATGATCCTGATGAAGCTCTAGAGGCCAAATGCTAGACAACTTTTTACCTGTTGAGCTAAAAATCCCTGGTTTTCTTTTTTTTTAAAGTCAGCATGGTAGCACAGTGTGTTATTCCCTGTGTCGTGCACGGCATGGCAGCACAGTGTGTTGTTCCCCGTGTTGTGCACGGCATAGCAGCACAGCGTGTTGTTCCCTGTGTTGTGCACGGCATGGTAGCACAGTGTGTTGTTCCCCGTGTCTTACACGGCATGGCAGCACAGTGTGTTGTTCCCTGTGTCATACACGGCATGGTAGCACAGTGTGTTGTTCCCTGTGTCATACACGGCATAGCAGCACGGTGTGTTGTTCCCTGTGTCATACACGGCATGGTAGCACAGTGTGTTATTCCCTGTGTTGTGCATGACACATGACACATCAGCATGGTGTATTGTAATGTGTCATATGCATGGAAGTGTCTATCTCCTTCACTATATAATACCAAACTCCAGTTTGTACTTGTCACTGTGCACTGTAATCAGTATTAATAGTTTTGATTTTTGTAAGAACAGTAACATAATACCTTTTTCATCTCTGCATGAACATTTGCATTCTATAAGGCTTAGATTTTTAGTGTATTTTCCATATTTGTATCCTTTGATTAAGCTGTAGAAATTAACTTGTACAGAGATAATTATTTTAAAGGATATTTAAAAGTTTTTATTCAGAGTCTAGCCTGCCATGTATGAATGTTGGTATTTGGAGTGATTAGCAAAGTGTAGAGTCAAAGTAAGGAAAGATGATTCACCCTCTACACAACATTTCTGAAAATTGAGGTGCATTTATGTAGATTTTGCCACCGGCGCTGATAAAACATTCATGTTTTGTTTCACGAAGCGAAATTTTTTTGGAACTATCTTTGCTCATCCTCTTTGTGTACAAAATAAGTCACGCCTAAACAATGTGCTGAAGTGCCCAGTTTGTAACGTGAAAGTCTGTGTGCTTTGTAAAAACTACATGGTTACATCAAAATAAATTTTTAAGTCTATAATTCTTTGTCGACTTTCTTTGTTAGAAAAGTTAATCTGGAAAGCTAATCGTGGGCTGATAGAAATGAGGGACTGATGTCAGCTTTGATCTGCTGAGGGTAAGTCTGGGTACGGTTGAGCGGGTCACACCACATGGTCGCCAGTCCAGAGTTAACTAGGATGTTTTTTCAGACTCATGTGAGTGGGTGGTTGATGGGTGCCACTGGTAGGTCCTATTTTTTTTTCTTAACCTCTATTGTTTCTGTGTCTCTGTCTGTCTTCCTACCCCCCATTCTCTAAAAAAAAAACTATCTTTGGTTTGATATGTCTTTCTCTACTCAAGCAACAAACAAATAATGTACTTTTTTTTTTTATTTCTCCAGATCTGAACCGATTCCTGAAAGACAAGTTGTCGAGCGGAGACAGTGCGAAAGACTCGGTGGGGGACTCGCAGGTCAAAGGTGAGCCTTTCTCCTGTGTTGTTGTTTGTCTCTGTTGTTGTCCAGACTGGTGGTGGAGACTGTGCTGCTGTTTCTGGTGTAAAATCTGGTACAGTTGAACCTGCTCTGACACCTGTCCAAGACAATCACCTGTACTAACAACCACTTCCCTCTTTCCCCCTTTTTTGAAGTTTTAACATTAATGACATTGTCCAAGAGGATGGATTGTTGGCGGGTGCTCTGGTGTGGTTTGCTCCTTCTTTCCTATAAAATATCTATCGTCCTTATCTCCCCTCTTTCTTGTTTTGTGTTTGTTACTCTCTTGTAACACCTCTAATCTTCGGCACGTATACGACCTTATTGTGTTGCAAGTGCCGTAAAACTTTTACCAAAAAAAATTGTCCAAGACGTCAGTTTGTGTGTATGGCAGTCAATACAGTTTCATTTATCTGCCCATTTCATTGATAAGGAAATTTCAGCCTTGTTTTCCTTCCTGCCTTTTTCGAAATTTTGCCCTTGAATTTTAATAGGACTGTCAGAGGGATATGGAGAATAAGTCCCCTTTTTTAACAGTATCAGTGTGGGTGGTTGGCGTGTGCTCTGGTGTGGTTTGCTTCTTCTTTCCTATGAAACATCTATCGTCCTTATCTCCCCTTCTTCTTTTTCATGTTTGTTACTCTCTTGTAACACCTCTAATCTTCTGGCGCTCATATGACCTTATGCAGTTGCGAGCGCCGTAAAACCTGTACTAAAACTAAACTAAACAGTATCAGTGGTAGTCTTCCTGTGTCGGATCCGGAGTGTTTATGATATTTTCAGTTGTCATTTTTTTCACGATAGTTGATTATTGCACAAGCCGTATGGTGTCAGAAGCTCTGTGCTGTTTTCTCCTTGTAGCGTGCAGTGTCATAGGCTGATGGTAATTGAAGACTCTAGTGGAAAAGTCAGATCAGTCACTTTTCTTGAAAGTGGGGAAAATGGACATTCAAAGTTTGAAAGTCTGTATTTCATGAGTGAAGCATTTCTTTTACCTTACATAGCTCTGACTTAACAGGGTAATCCATGGGATCATTTCAGGAGATGAGATTTTCGAAATTTAAAAAATGCAATGATGGGGAAAAAATATTTCTTTAGAAACTGACTTATCTTGTTTTTGCACTGGATTCTTCAAATGTTTTATGCATACATTACACAATTTTGATTGTTTAGGAGGCTGGCTGCTTCATCCCAGCCTACTGGGGCCTTCATGAGCTGAGAGAAATTAACCATCCCAACGTGATCCTCGATGAAATAAACTTCCCAGCTGGGGAATCGAATGATGTCTTTTGTTTAGTATGGGGGAAAATGGAACCATTACTCTTCTGAGGCTGGTAGGGTGAAAAAACTTTTACATGATTATTTTTGTGAACTAAATTTGTTATTTTTTTCGTCTTCTCTTTATCAGACTCCGAGCAGGGTTCCGACAAGGCTGACGAATCAGGAGCAGCATCTACAGAGGCGGGGCAAGAGGCAGGGCAAGGGGTGGGTCAAGGGGCAGGGCCTCAGCAGCCTGAGGTTGTGAGAGAGCCAGTGGTAGAGGAGGAAAAAGTGAAAGAGGAGAAGACAAAGGAAAACGTAAAAGAGGATACAACAGATGAGACTGAGGTGGAGGATTCTGAGGAAGATGAATTTGATGAGACGGACATGGAAGATGATGAGGAGGGAGATGAAACTGAGGCAGATGAGGAGGATGATGAAAAGGATGAAAAGGCTGAAATTGAGGAGGGGAAATACGAAGAGAACAATGAGAAGGACAAGAGGACAGAACCTGAAGATACTGAAGATAGAGAGAAGGAGGAAAAGTCTGCACCTGAACATCGTGACATACCTGGACAGCAGGAAGGGGACACGGCTCCTAAAGACAAAGAGGACGAGACAGACCAAGGTGACGACGATGACACATTGCCCAGTGCTGATGTCACTGACGATCACAGCGGTACGGGTAAAAAACAGGAAGAGGATAAGGTCAAGGATATCAAGCAGGAAGGGGAGGAGCCTGAGGACAAGGGTGGGTCTTCAGAGCACAGCGACTCTCATCTCGGAGACAGTCAGAAGGAGGGAGAGATGGACCAGGCCAGAAGTGGAGCAGATAAAATGGCAATGGGAGACAGTCCGTCTGGAGGTGAGTCCACGGAGGATGAAGCAGCTGAACCAAAGGAGAATGAGGAGTCAAAAGAGATTGTGGGTGATGACAAGAGTGCTGCTGCAGGAGAGAAGACAGAGGGAGATAAAGGAGAGGGGGATGGACAGAAGAGTTCCCACCAGCCAGCAGACACACTGCAGTTTAAATCTGAGAAAACTATGGAGGAGGCTGATAAAGAAGAAAGGTCAGAAGGTCGCGATGGGGAGGTGAAGGAGGAGGAAGGTGTTCCCGACTCTGGTTCTGAGCCGGCAGACGCTGGGAATGTCGACTCTCGCGATCTTCCTGGATCTAGGTCAGTGGGCTCGCAAACAGACAGTACCAACGTGCAGCAAGAAGATGTAGCTGAGGATGGAGAAAATGTTGCGGAGGTAGAGAAGAAAAAGGAGGAGGAGGAAAAGAAAGAGGAAGTGGAGGAGAAAAAGAAAGAGGAAGTGGAGGAGAAAAAGAAAGAGGAAGTGGAGGAGAAAAAAGAGGAGATGGAGAAAAAGGAGAAAGTTGAAGCTCCTGCAGATGTTAAGGAACAAGGACGAGAGTCGGATAGTACAGAGGGGCAACATGTCGGCAGAGAAATTTCTGAACATGAGGGAGAAAAATCTGATAACTCTACGCCTGAGAAGGCACAGGATGAAGGCGATGGTAAACCTGATGGGGCAGCTGCCGGCGGGGAGAGAGATTCTCCTGTAGACAGTAAGTCAGGTGAGGGCAAAGTCGTTACGGAGGGTGAGGATGCTGAGGGTGGTCTGAAGGCTGACCTCTTTGGAGAGGTTGACCCAATGCAGGACAGCATAGCAGACCTGGACAACTGGCAGCGAGACGAGACGCAACCAATCCTCGACGGCTTCAGCAATTTCCTCCACGGCAGCCGGACTCCTCCCAAAGCAAACGTCGCTGAGGCTGCTGCCGACGGTGCTGCGGAGACGCCACAGTTGGAGGTCCCCCCATCCACCGTCAGTCCCGCTGATCTTGCCAGCGAGGTAATTTCTCCCGCCTCGGAAATTGCCTTCAGTAAAACAGAATTACCCGAAGCTGACAATACGGGGGAGGGAGAGAAATCAGGTGGGGAAGTTGGAGAAGGAGATGGTTTTGAAACGATCGTTGAGGGTGGTACCTCCCTTGTACTGGACAGTGCCGGCAACATGATCTCGGTAGTCTTGCCCACAGAAGACGCCAGCTCTGAAACAGAAACTGTGGGTTCCAACACTGCCGCAGGGGAGAAGATACCGCAGTCGCCCGTGGTGGTCGAGAGTTTGTCGGGACCCCCTAGTTCAACGGCAGCACCCGTGGAGCCGACACAAGTTGAGACGTCGTTGCCTTCTGCTGCAGTACATGGAGACTTGGAGACGGAGAAAATAAACACACCCGAGGTTGGCGGGTCTGTAGACGGGTCACAGCATGAGAGAAATGCGACTGATGGGGGGGATGTGTTACCGGACGATGGAAGCCCGTCTCTGGATGGGAACCTGGCCCGTGATGCATATGGGAACGTGGAGTTCAGCAGCCGGAAGGTTCTCTCTCTGAATCAGCCAGGATCAGCTTCAGCACAGCAGCAGCAGCAACAACAGCAGCAACAACAGCAGCCACAGCAGGGACAGGGTAGGTGTTTGTTTGCAGAAAGTCTGTGTGTGTGTTTGTGTGTGTGTGTGTTGTGAGCATGTATGAATGTGTGTATTGCTGAGCACCAGTCGGTTGTGTGTTTTTGAATATGTAAATGTCTGTTGTGTATTTGTATGTTTGTGTGTATGTGTGTGTGTGTGTGAGAGAGAGAGAGAGAGAGAGAGAGAGAGAGAGAGAGAGAGAGAGAGAGAGAGAGAGAGAGAGAGAGAGAGAGAGAGAGAGAGAAGCTTAAGAACATATTAAGTAGTCTCGAAACAAATACAAACAAAAACATGCTGAGACTTCTAAATACAAAAGATGGCTATTCGTGCTGGCTTTTCTGGTTTTGTTTCTTCTTATTTGGTCTTGTCTCATTGTCCCATGATGCCTCATTGTCTGGAAGAGACAGTGCCTGTATATGAATATGCAATGATTGATGGGGAGAAGCATAAGCTGAGATTTTCTAAAAAATACAATGTTTGAAACAAATTCATTTTTGTTTGCATCTACTTGTTTTGTCTTTAAATTTGGAGTGGATAGATCTGTCAATGGAATGTGGAGAATACAGGTAAATGATAAATATGCATTTGGTATTATGGCAATATATAAAGTCTAATTAACCGTAATGAAACCCGCAATGAGACTTCTAAAAATAGAAAGTAATAATTATTTATCTTGTCTTTTCTGTTTTTGTTTCATCTTATCTCACCGCATCCTCCCTTGACGCCTCAGTGTCGGTGGAAGCGACGCCTTCAGTTCCTGTGGCGTCAGCGACAGAGCGAGTGGACGACCTCATGTCAGACAATGCTGCGACCTCTGACCCACAACCTGGGGAGGGGACGGGAGTGGAACAGCCAGCTGGCACAGACGAGCAGTTCACAGGGTCACCACAAGGCTTGAATGAAAATGTAGGTCTTTCTTTCAGATAAATTTTTAGAACAATTTGATTTCCCTCTGTGTTTTCCTTTATCATAATATGTGGGTGGTTGAAGGGTGCTACTGGCAAGTCCTCCTACTTCTTTACTTTCCCTCTTGTTTCTGTCTATCTTTCTTTTTCACTAGCATTAAATGATCATTATTGTGTCGATACATTTCTATATACTCAAACAAAACAAATAATGTCATGTCTTGTGCATTTGATCTTGAACACTTTGTTTTTAATTGTAATATGTAGTCACTTTTAAGGACAAACGGGCTAATCCAGATTTCGGGGGTTTCCAGAAATCTTGACCTACACCAAAAGTGGGCATTCCTCTACTTATAGGAGAAGCTTGGTTTCATTGGTGTGTATATTTGTTTGGTTATAGAGAAAACTCCTTGTCTTTTAAAGAAACTGCACTGGGGGCAAAAACTTTACCTTCGACTTTCAAAACAGCATTTTTAACAGTGAAAACAGTTCATTTCAAAGAGTGAGCTTAATAAGAAGTCAAAATTTTACTGTAAAAAAAAATGGAGAGACGACAAGAAAGCACTTAGCTCGTGACATGTTGACAAGCATCTGTGGTGTAGCAGGTAAGCTCTTTGAAGCCGCCTGCCTCCTAAATGATCTAAAGTTGCGTGGATGGGGTTGTAAAACATTTACCGTCATAAAAAACAATAACCGCATGTCAAATTCAGGCGGAGACTTCCACCCAGCCGTCCACCGGGGACTTTGGAGAGATCCCTACGCCTCCCCTCCCAACTGAGTCACGACAGCCGCCCGACGGGGCTGAAGGTCAAGGCCAAGAGGACTATGACACGGAGGTGGTCTACTCCCGCCGCATCAACGACGAGGATCTGTACGCCCGCGAGGAGGAAGAGCTGGCCAAAAACGCGCCCGGGTTTGCCTCTAGTGTCATGAAGTCGCTGGATTCCTTCACCAAACAGATCATTGAGAAGGTAGGTTTTGTGTGTGTGTTTGTGAGATGTGTAAATGAATTATACGCCATACCAGACTAGCTGTGTGTTTGTGGGATGTGTAAGTGAATTATACACCATACCAGGTTTACTCTGTCTTTGTGGGATGTGTAAGTGAATTATACGCCATACCAGGTTTAGTTTGTGTTTATGAGATGTGTAGGTGAATTATACACCATACCAGGTCAGCTTTGTGTTTGTGAAATGTGTAGGTGAATTATACACCATACCAGGTTTACTCTGTGTTTGTGGGGATGTGTAAATGAATTATACACCATGCCAGACTAGCTGTGTGTTTGTGGGATGTGTAAATGAATTATACACCATGCCAGACTAGCTGTGTGTTTGTGGGATGTGTAAATGAATTATACACCATACCAGGCTAGCTGTGTGTTTGTGGGATGTGTAAATGAATTATATACCATACCAGGCTAGCTGTGTGTTTGTGAGATGTGTAAATGAATTATACACCATACCAGGTTTACTTTGTGTTTGTGAGATGTGTAGGTGAATTATACACCATACCAGGCTAGCTTTGTGTTTGTGAGATGTGTAGGTGAATTATACACCATACCAGGTTTACTCTGTGTTTGTGGGGATGTGTAAATGAATTATACACCATGCCAGACTAGCTGTGTGTTTGTGGGATGTGTAAATGAATTATACACCATACCAGGCTAGCTGTGTGTTTGTGGGATGTGTAAATGAATTATATACCATACCAGACTAGCTGTGTGTTTGTGAGATGTGTAAATGAATTATACACCATACCAGGTTTAGTTTGTGTTTGTGGGATGTGTAAGTGAATTATACACCATACCAGGTCAGCTTTGTGTTTGTGAGATGTGTAGGTGAATTATACACCATACCAGACTAGCTGTGTGTTTGATGGATGTGTACGTGAATTATACACCATACCAGGTTTACTTTATGTTTGTGGGATGTGTTAGTTAGTTAAACATTGTACCAGGCTAGCTGTGTGTTTGTATAGTCAGGCACTGTTTACCTGTCTCTTTTCCCCACTTTGTCTCTCTCTCTCTCTCTGTTTGTGCCTCCCTCTCACACACTGTCTGTCTGTATGTTTGTCTGTCTGACTGTCCACCC